ACCTTTTCCTGCATTGTGTTGTGGTTGAGCTGTCTTGTTTCTGTCTTTGGGTGTGATTGGGAACGACAATTTTAAAATAAACATAGCAAGAGTTTATAGAATACTGGAAGGGAGAGTGATCTTTGGGGAAAACAGAGATTCTCAACATTTCTAAGTACGTCTTTGTGTGGAAAAAATGTTGTGTATTAAGAAAACAGAATATTTTCAAGAGTTGGTGTCGCACTAAGTGCTGCAACAACATGTCATCGGCTGGATAGAAACTTGACAACCTGTTGATAACTCGGCACTGATAAGTCAGTAGCACAAATTGTTCAGGCTTTAAAATTGTGAAATGACATGCCGGTTGCTCAATTTACGTTATTGTGTAAATCTCAATTCAGGGAAAGAGATTTTCTGAGGCTTCTTTGGAAATTTGTCTCATCTGTATTCGACTTTTTTTTAAAACAACGTTTTCAGTTGTTCCTCTTCTGCAGGGATAGTCAAATGTGCATACGGGGAGCTGTCATATTTTTGACCTCTGACCTCTCAAAAGGGGAAGTCTTACAGGGATCGATCCAGATTAAGCTTTCTAAGAACATGTTATAAATGTTTTAACTTAAACTACCACTGAAGAATATGTCTATGTTGGCTGCTGCAGTCAGAAGTGTGTCCCACCCATTGTAAGAGAGGTCCTGTACTTAATTTGCCAAAATGAAATTCTCTCGCCGGGTACGTACACTTCTCCACAGGAAGTGACGGATCAGAATGAAATACAAACCTGTCTCTGAAACGTCATACAAATTAGCGAAAGCTCCCTTCGGGGAAACACCAGACTTGCCAGCTCCGGCTCTCTTGTTTGCCTTTCTCATCCCTTTGCTGCACGTCATGGAGCAGAGCCCCGCTGTGTGCAGTTTCACATTATTTCAGTCTACTCAAGTGCAAAGTTTTCAGTTCTGTCTGGCTGACATTTGAATCCACCAGGTGCACGCTGCAAGGTCTTGATACAGTTAAGTCGCAAATCTTCTGTTAACAAGGTCTGGTTGAATCATCACAATGAACCGAGTGTACTGCAAATTATAGGTGAACTTTCCAAGATGAAAATATAAGATACCACTTGTTATTTCCAAATTTAGGTTAAAGGAACAATGTGAACTTTCCTCTTGGTTTAGCTCAGCCCAGGTGTTGCAGAGCTTAAGTTTCATCCTGATAAAATCCTCAAACAAAAGAAAACCTGAACATAAATTTAGCAGCTGCATCTCAGTTGGTAGACAGAGTTGATGCTTCATCATGACTAGTCCTCGACCAACATGGAACACAATCTGATTTGTTTTGCACTCTGATTTTATAACATTCAGGGGATAGGGATGAAAAACAAACTGGCTCCAAACACATAAGCAGTTTACACATTTTCGAGGAAATGTCAGGCAGGCTGCCCCTGAAATCTTCTGGAGTTTGTTGTTCACACACGTCCCTCACAGTGGGAGACTATCCATGTGGTACAAGGATTTCTTTGAAAGAAAGCGATCATCATCACCAATTTGCTCGTGGTGTATTTCCTGAACATTTCCTGCATCGCTCTCAAATCACCTCACCGTGACTTCATGCTGAAAATTCACTAGAGGCCTGGCAAGACTGTTGTGGGTGTGGAAGGCCTATAGCAGTTACGTTGCGCCCCATTTACAAGGCTATAGTCCTCCACGCCGGGGGCCTGCGTTCAAGTCCGGCCTTTTGCTCCTTTCTGGCATTTCATTTCCCACTCTCTCTCCCACCTGTGTCGTACTCTATCCACTGCAAAACAAATAAAGGCAAAAAATAGATATAATAAAAAAATGTGTTGGCTTTTGCGTTCACACATTCATACCACCCTGAAAATGACAGGAAGTTTTCAGGGGTTTAATGTAAGTGTGAAAGCAGTATACAAGTTGGTTTGAATCTGGAATAAAAGAATGTAGCACATGTAGCACATTCCCAGTGAAGTCACTGCGGAGATTACTAAATACTGAATATTGTATAATGTTTAGAGTGTCCTTCTCATGTGTTGAATTTAGGGCTGAGATAAGAACATAATATATACAGTTAATTCTCGCACTAGTAGTCGTGTCATGCTTCTCTTTTTGAATAAAAAACTAATATCTGTATCAAGGGAACAAAACGTTGCAACCATGACGCAAAACTAAAAGCAACTACAAACTATCAATTCTTACAAATGTAAAAACCAACAAGTGCTGTGAGTCACATGTTTTCATCTTTTGACGGATCCAGGCTAGTTGCTTTATCTTGTTTCTAGGCTTGATGCTTGGCTAATTTAAGAACCCCAAACTTTAGCTACGTAGTGAACACACAGATGTCAGAGTTATATTTACTTTCTTATCTTACTCTCTGAAAAAAAAAAATGTTATGTCTAAAAAAAAGATGGTGCAACTTGCTTTGGACAATAGCTGTTTTGATCTGTGGTCATAAACATGTCCTAGTTAAACTCCACAAATTTGTGATTTTATGAGATTTCAACATCTTCCATGTAAGCACAATCAGATGTCCACAGCAGCTTGTATTCAACAGGGGAGAGCTTCGTACATCAGGGAGGGAAATCTATGCCACAAGCAGTTTGATGCAAAACAAAATTGCATTTGAAAGTCATTTATGAGATATGACAGTGTAACTCTACAGAGGTCAGCAGTAGAAAAGGTTTCTTAAACTGAAAGTGGATCATTACAAAGCGTTAAAGGTAGCTGAGTAACAGGGGAAGTGAGAGTGAGAGCACTCTCACTGGTAGCAGAGCAGAGGCGACACGGTGCCGGGGTCAGAGTCAGCGGTCAGGGGTTCAGACATCAGACCGGCCACTCTGTCCGCTGCCACTGAAAACACACTTCCTCTCTCCGGCCTTACTGGACTGCTGCCGTGTGACGCACTTTCCACTGAACACACAGCACAGATCAGGGATCAGGATGTGGAAACCTCACAGCTCCTCTCCTGGAGTTTAATGGTGGATGTGACCGCCTGATGAGAGGTGATGCGTCTGTCATGTGTCTCTGAGCTGAGAGGTTCTGTGTGTACTCAGATTCCTGAGTACTTGTGTTTTTACTGCACCTGCTGCAGAAGAGGGAGTGCTGTTCTTCTCTTTAGCTTTACGCAGCACAGTGTTGCTCAGAGTTGAAAAGTTTGTTTTCTCAAATATTCTGGAAATATGATGAGCTAACACGACACATTAACTCATTCACTAGACAACTTGATAAAGATTTATATTTGAGTAAGATAAGAGGTGGATAACTGAGGACGAATACTCCTCGAAGACTAATAAAACCTAACTTTTTAAGGTCAATTATCCTGAAAGTAAAAAAGCAAAAATCACTTCTACAACTGGATAAATGATGATTGTTATACAACCATTATTAGTATTAGTATTACTATAATGAAGTATAGGTATAAGCTACATTGTAACTAAATTTTATTTAAACATTCTTGTTTACTAAACTTAGGGAAAATTCTTAAATCTATATTTTAAATATTTGTCAGAGTTTTTATCACACTGGTTTGAACACTTTTTAACTGAAAAAAAGAAATCCTTTATTGTCCCGGGCCTGGCTTCAGATGTCATTAAAGCATTTGATTATGATGGGTGTTTCTTTTACACCTTATTGAGTATGTTTTCTTGTTTTCTTGTTAGCTTTATTGTTTTTGTTTGGACAGCTCTGTGTTACATGTTTCTCTTTTAGGAGGGCCACTAGACAAGCACCTCTGGGTTCATTTGGCACCTCGAGCACATTTCTTTCACAAATGTAAGATATTCTATAGGCCTATATGTGTCATTTTATGTATGGATGATTTTTATTTTATGTTAATGCTGATATGCTTAGAGGTTGACAATTGTCTTAAATCAAGATTAAAACTCGCATTCAGAGACTCTACATCAAGAGACAATGTGTTTTCACATGTATTGAAGGCTTTAGCAGGTCCAGAGTGCAGAGTTACAGTTGGCCTAATGACCTCTGGAGTCTGAGGATCCCTGCTGAGAAAACACACCGACTGTCTTCACGTCAGAAACCAGATCCTCTCAGCACAAACAGCAACAAGCAGGCCGGAGTTGTGATGTAAATTTGAGCTCCAATCGACACTGCAGTCCCCCCCCCCTCCTCTCCGTCCACCATTAACACCTGAATGGGACGTTACTTTAAATCATGTTTACATCACCAGCGGTTAGAGAGTTTAAAAGCCGTGAAACGCGTTTCAGACGAGTTTGGCGCCTGTTTGGACAAGCGTGCTGCGAGGGAACAAAAAGCCCAATCCTCCATTCATGAGAATGAGCTGAGAGCGAGACGCGCCGAACAGGTGGAGGCAGCGGCACGGACCATCTTCACCTGCATGTACAGTTATAGCTCAAACAAAATCACCTTACTCAATGCAGGTTTAACACTGGAAAGAGTAAGGTATCAGGGAAAGCTGGCAAAGAAAGGAGAGGGGGTTTCTAATTTTAATGAAAAGAAAACAAAGCAAACATGGATAGAAATCGTTCTTGTGGTTTTAAATCAAATGATGCAATCGATGAGAAGACACAACTAATAATTCTCGAGATATAAAACTTATAAATGATGTTTGAAGACATGTTAAAACATCATGCGCGGTGAGATTTACGTGCCATAATCTCAACGCCTTTTATTAGAACAATGTTTTTCTTATTCCTTTGTCTCTCCTTTCAGGCTTTTTCTCCACAACTCTCGTTATATTTTGTATTACTGTTCATTAAACAGTCATATCTCATCTGATCAACTGAAGCACTGACAGCCTCTCATATTAAGTAGTTTCTTGTGGCTTTGCCTGCAGCAGTTTCTGTCATTACGCTTGTTCTTTTGAGCATGTTACGTAAGTATCTATGGTTGCTATATTGTCCGTGTGTTTGTAATTTGCCAGCAACTTTTTTCCAACTCAAATGTTGGTAGGCGTGTCTGTTGGTGTCTGCGTCATCACATGGGGGAGGTCCTGCACTTTATAGGCTCCGCTGCGCTGCACTGCCTGTCATACAGAGAACTGAGCAGCACTGCCTGCACCAGGCGCTTTATAAAGAGCTAAAATTACCAAACTTTACGTTGTTTCCTGAGCTCTCACAATTGGACGGTCGCAGCGAGCTTAGACAGTTATAAGGGTTGAAGGACCTCCTACCACTTAGAGACTTGTTCATGTCTTCTGAGCGCAGCTGTGGAGAGTGAGATAGGCGCACAGACCCTTTGACGAGAGACAACTTATTATTATTATTTCACCCAACGATGGCCTTATCCGGAGTGATGCTGCCGTCCTTTTCCACATTCACAAACCAAAGAGAGAGAACCTGGGAAAACGTAAGTCTATCACCTTGTTTTATGTTTAAATGCGATTGTTTTGTCATTTTATTTCAGCGCTTTTGATTGGGAGGGGATTTCAATAGCTTGTCAAGATATTTCAACTGCTCATTTGCTTTAGTGTAAGAAGAAGAAAAAACACATTTGTAAGCTACAAAACTAATTCTGAGGCGAAATAATCAGTCCACGTAAAGTCACCTGCATCTGTCCTAAAACTTTTTCTTCAAAGCAACATTTGACTCATCATGTCTAACAACAATCTTTTCGTTCTTTCAGAGGTGGAAGGGAGAGATGGACAAACTTGTCTCCAGCAGCTGCTCCATGCTTGAAATGGTACACAACTTGGACAATCACAGCAAAAAGGACGACGAGGATCTGAGTAATTACTTGGATCTGGATTTTATTCTCGCCAACACAACTGGCTCAGACAGCGCGGCGGACTTTGCTGGCACAGTTGACCCTAGCATGTACACGACGGGACACTCGATGCCATCCTACCAAGCAGAGGACCACCGCTCCCCGCCGCCCCCGTACGGCGCCAGCCTCATGACAGAGCTGCTCCGCTCAGAGGGACCCAACAACTATGGCATTACGCGCAACCCTTGCGTCCAGGGGAGATTTTACGTCAACACGGTGCCTTTCCCCCGGCAGAACATCAAAGTCGAGCCCCCCATGGACGGTTACGGCCCCGTTATGGGCATGGTGCCCCAAAGCTGCAGCAAAATCAAGCAAGAAGGGAACGTTTCGTGCATGATGTCCTTCGAGCAGCCCCGGGTTGCCATCTCCCCGCGGGCAGCAAGCAACATGACCCCGCCTCTCAGCCCCAATGACCAGGGAGCTTCAGACTGCCAGGCACAGCTGTGCCAACCCATGAACTTCTCCCAGAAGTATCACACACCGGCGGCTTTCCCACACCACCCTCAGGCCCCGCAGATGCAGATGCCTTATCATGCTCAACACGCTGCCTTTGGCATGTACGATGAAGGTCTCAGCATGCAGCCAGGCGCGCAGAGGGTGATGCTCACACCGCCTTCTTCTCCCCTCGACCTGATGGAATCCAAACCCAAGAGAGGGCGACGCACCTGGCCGCGGAAGCGCACTGCCACGCACACCTGCACATTCGCTGGCTGCGGGAAAACTTACACAAAGAGCTCCCACCTGAAGGCTCATCTCAGAACTCATACCGGTAAGTTCGAGCACATATCTTTTGTGATTAACAAGATGATTGTAGTGCGTAATTACGCACAGATCGGTTTAGCTCTAATCAATGTATTCCTTTAAACAAAGACTAATAATCTCTTAATTATTTGTCCGCGCAGGTGAGAAGCCATACCACTGCAGCTGGGAAGGCTGTGGATGGAAATTTGCCCGCTCAGATGAGCTGACTCGTCATTTCCGCAAACACACAGGTCACAGGCCCTTCCAGTGCCACCTGTGTGAACGCGCCTTCTCCAGGTCTGACCACCTCGCTCTCCACATGAAGAGACACATGTGAAGAAGCCCACATAAGAACTTGGGGTCAATGGGGGGGGGGATTGTGTTATTTTTATTGTAATTAACTGATGTATTTTTTATTTAAATTGTTGTACACCTGACCAAAGTCTTTTTTTATATAATATTGAATTGAAAGTTTTAGTGTTATTATGTTCTAATAACGTAGCTGGTACTACTTTGGTTGTATGAAAGCTTTAGAAAAGCTTTGTTTGCTTTAGAGCAGGCAGACCAGGAAGGGGCTGGCCCTGTACATACTACTCTTCTTTGACAGAACTGGAATGCTGTGTTTGACACAAAAGTGCCTTTCTATGACTGCTACTGTAAAACTCTTCACGACCAAACGACGTGGCCACAAAAACAGAACATGTTCTTGTTGACAGGAGTGAGGTGCACATACAGTTGTCTAACATGTGCAAAGACAATGTTTTATTTAAACTGCCTCAATGTCTGAATGGCCTGAACTTTTCCTGTTTCCCACTCTTTGGAGTTGATTTTGTCTCCTCGTTTGTGAAACTCTCAGATCCAGCCCCCTCTGTTCACTATCAGGGCTTGATGTCCTGTGCATTATTTTTCACTTAAATTTATATTAAAAAAAATGTACATGGATTTTATACTGTCAAATGTATTTATTGTAAATATTAAAAACAATGAAATTGAGCTTTTTGACTGGGGGACTCTTTTCCTTTCATGCATTCTTAGTCACTGCCGACACATCTTGTTCACACCTTTCGTTCAATGAACCACATCCACCCACTCACCGACGACAGGTTCCACACTGTGTTTATAACCAGTGTAAGTAGGAGCAGCAGACCTGTACACCATCAGATCAGTCACACTAAATAGGCCATACATGTTGCCATCATATACCCACTCTAATTCAAAACATGGACACTTGATTTCCACTGTGATGTCTTGCAGCTGCACGACAGAGAAGGGCAGCCGCTTGTGGGCTTAGCCTATAAATACAAACACTCCATTTCCATAATTACAGAGTGAGCCGGGAGCCGTCTGGACAGAGGGGCACTGCAAGCCCTCATCAGGGAGCCCTTAGACTCCCTTTCTGATGGGTAGAAATTATAGTAGGACATCAAAGGGCCTTAATACTACAATTACACAGAGTCACTCTGCTCTGCAGTTTCAAAGTATCTCAGTCCGTGCATATTATGTCTGCGTGGTGTCACTGAGCATTTGTTTCCCCCCCGCATCAAAGCCTATAGCGAGTCTGTGTATCAAAGCCAGATGGCCTTTAAAAAAAGATAAATATTCAACATTTTCTTTAAGTACTTGGCTGGTGATTGACATATCGCTCTCCTTTCTGTTGCATTATGGGTGTGGACGCTGTGTCCCATAGTTTAGTTATCTCATATCTTGAAGTAAGTGCTGAGTGTCAACAATTTGCTAGAATTTATCGTCCTATTATTAAAAAAGAGGAAGTACACACTAGGTAAAAATATGTGCAGTGGTTGATGCAAATGTTTAACTTTCATTTCACTTTTTTTGTTCCAATATTAATAAAAATTCAAGATGTAAACATTAGATTTCTATAACTCTTTACTTTACATTTGGGGGAAGTTTCAGGCTGAAACCATTAAAAAAAAAAAAAAAAAGGTTGACTAAATTCTTTCCTTCTTACATGCAATGTTTGCAAATGTATGTATCACTACTGTTCCATGAGGTCATCTATTTGATGACTTGAGGAACAGTGTTGATCCCTGGCACGCATCTGTCTACTGTTGTTGAACTGCTTTCTTTTAAAATAAGACTTACCTTATTATAAAGGATTTCAAAGATCACTTTTATTCAATTGAAAGTTATAACAGATCTGAGCGTGTCAAACCTCTGAGTTTTGTTTTTTAAAGAATCACATACATACTGTGCAATATTAAAATGATACAATGCCAATATGATGATAAATAAGGCGCTGTCACTTTGTACATATCCAGTAAGCTCTGGAATATACAAGTGTGAACATTATGTGCCAAATAAACCTGATTAGTGTTTCTTAGTTACAAAGATACAACATTTTAAGGCATTTCAAGAAATGTCCTCCAACTGGATCATAAGACAAAACTGAACAGAAAAAAAAAATCCATCAGGGAAAAAGAGATCCACTGGTTGATTTGAGGGGGCCAGAAAAGATTGGCAAAAAGTCGGAAGCAGACGTCACTGTGGTAGTGTGAAGAAGTAAGGGACAGTTATGTGTAACAGCACCAGTATAAACAACACAAGTTTACACTTAATTCCATTTTATAGAGGCGTTAGTTGTATGGGAGTGCAAGTTGTCGTTGGGCGTTACAACAAGGCAACCAATGAAAAACAGCCTGACGGACACAAGCTGTTGACATCAGAGAGGGACGGTGAGACAGCGCTGCAGGTGGGATGAACTTTGTTCAGAGGAAAGGAAGACTTCAATGATTATCACTAGCATCTGTATTACTGAACAAGGCAAAAACTCCATTCAGCTAAATATATGTAAAGGCTAAAATACTAATCAGGGTTCCCAAAAACATTGTTTTCTTACATAAATGTATCCAAGCTGAGGGTTTGATTATGCTCTAATATTTATCACTTTAAGGCCTTAAAAAGTTGATGAAGCCGGCACAGATGGCTAAAAACACGTGTAACACATTAGACTTAAAATACTAAATCTTACCACTGATGATCTGATTACAAAGCTCTGCTCCTTTAAAGACAGGTTTGCATTAAAAAGACAAATCAGGCTTTTCCCAAAGCGTGAACATAAAACCATCATCTAACCGTATTTACAGTACATAACGGAGCGCCTTAAAACTAAACATTTGAAACTAGGCAATAAAAGGCTAAATTAAATAGTAAGCCTGTATAGTTTGACTTTCAATGGAGTTTTTCTGGAAAAACTAAAGGTTATATAAAACAGTTTATACATTTCCTTTACAAGTACTTCTTACACAACAGACTTGTTGTGGGGGTGGGGGGGTGGGGTGGGGGGGGGGGGGTGGAGGGTGGGTTGCCTGGTCAGGAGCTGGGCATGTCGGCCCTGCTGAGAGCCATGGCCAGCTCCAGGTCCTGCTGCTCCTGGAGACGCAGCCTCCTCAGCCTCTCCTGCTCCACACGCTCACTCTCCCGCTTGGCCCATTCCAGCTGCTGGCTCTCATTTCCAAACTGGAACAGAGAAACTCACATTAGACGTGGAAGCAAAACCAGAGATAGAGGCTGAAATATCAACACAAATAGAGCAGCGTCATTGGATGTATGTAAAAGTAACATTGGATGCAAATTTTAAATTGAGTTTCTCTACTTGCGCAGAGGATCAAAATACACATCAAACATAACTGAAATGATTGGACTTAAATAGCAGCACACAGCTTTAAATTAAGAAATAATGAATGCGATAATTTAGATGTTTGGATTTTGCCTGGAAGTCAAAGAAAAGCAGAAAAAGCAACGCTACAAGCTTCACAAACTACTGCTGCTCACACATTACCCATAATCATTCAGCACGTGAATCACTGTAACTGAGGATATAAATGTGATAAAATCATGCTTATGAATCAGCACACTCGGCTCACGCAGTGCGGACAGGTTTTTTTCACATGCAGAGGACTGACCACCACACCCATGTACAGACTTACCTCGTCATAGTCAGATCCTGGCAGAAAAAAAAAAAATTACAATACAGAGCTCGATATAAAAGAGAACCCACAAATTCCTTTCACAACTCTCATGCTGGCATGAGGGATAACATTGATGCATGTCATGTTAAATGATACAAACCAGACACAAAAAGCTGCCATGCATCATCTCTCCAAACTCAGGATGCACACGAAGGCAAAGAAGCGGAAGATGTGGGACAAAGAGGAAGATTTACTCAATGGCGCTCTGCTTCGAGGCATATCATGCTTTGACAGCAAATAAGCCTTTAGCTTGTACTTCCAAGACTTGAAATATGCTCCTCCAGTGCATTCCTGACCAGACAAGTTCACTGACTCGCTGTCGCTGGTTAAGAGTTTCTAAATCCTGAGATAACAGCAAGCATGCAAGAGCCCCTCTACCAAGACAGTCGACTCAACAGACATCGGGGGCTGTCAAAGTCAGTCATGTAAACATTTAATATCCTTCTTCACCAAGCCTTTAAAAAGCTCTTATGATGTTCTGCCAGTTGTTAGTGGACAGCCAGTAAGCGCGACGTCGTTAACAGAGAGAGGCCAAGTGACACCTGTCACCTCGGAGCCTTAAGCGTTTCAGTCTGAAGAGTCAGATCGTAAGATCAGCGGCTCATGCAGACAAATATACCAACAGGAAACCGTAAGACTACACTTACAGATGCAAAATCTGCAAAACCCACAGGACAGTCTTTGGATGCATTACTCGAGTGAGTTGTAACAAACGAGCCTGTACTGTCTGCTGTGGAGCCAACGCTCAGGGACGCCTCTGATGCGGTCAAACTGAGCATACCTACTGGAGAGGAAGATGTTTAAATAAATCCATGCAAGATAACACATTTCAGACTAAGGTTGTCCAAATGTTCCGTATTAGGCTACTTTTTGATAGCACCTGTTTTATAACAGTTCATTCTTTGATATTTAAAGAATGATAGTATCGAAAAGTAACAAAACTATAAAAATGACACAGCGTTTTAGTCAAATTATTAAACAAAGGCAGCCTCGAGCAAAAGAGAGAGCACGGTCCGAATTGCACAAATGTGTTGGCATGGTTCTGGTACTGAAACCTTGCCATGGTATTTGTGCAGTTTAGACAGTGTGCGTTTGCCTGCATTTTTTGGTAACCAAAAACGGGAAAGTACCAAATGTTGGGTGCGCAAGCCTTCTATTTTTGCTGCAGTGGTATTGTAATTGTTGGAATTGAACTCGTATCATATCTGACTTTACAATTCTGGTATTGTCAAAACCCTACTTCATACGTCAACAACAGAGAACCCTTGGGAAACTAAGGTCACACTTTAAAAGGCTGGTGTGTAATATTGTGATGCCAAATTTTAACAGGAAGCCAGCAGCTTCACACTGATGCTTTGCACAGCAGTCACCCAGGGGAAAGCCATATTGATTTAAAAAAAGAAAGAAAAAAAAAAAGGTGTTGACCACATTTTTGGAGTAAGGCTCACTGAAGCATTGAAGCTTAACATGCAAAGTGTGGCTTTCTGGAAATGTATAGAATTGGAAAAGACAGACACACCCTTGAATACAGCAAGCTTTGTATTATATTTGTATAATAATGTTTTCAGAATTATTCATGCATAAAAAAAATGTGTGCACTGACACATCGGCTGCATCCGTGAATCGAAGGGCTTCTAAGAAAACAAAGGGTAGTGACTGTATATTTTAATATTGTTAGTAATTACATGTGCCTTTAAAGTTCTGTGTAAGTGAATGGCTATATGGTTCCTAACGAGACCAAAATAACTGCAATTGTCCCTCTGATGCAGTCCTTCAGCGTAGCCAATGAATTTCAAAGAGAGCTTCTCACTTTTGTTTACACGAAGGCTCAACTGGGGACACGAGTTGGAAATTAGCAATATTTATATACTCTTTATGCAGCACATAGGTTTCATGCTTTGTATTGAAATTATTTTAAATTGCATTGTCCCTATTAAAATAAATAAAATTCAATTCAAATTCACTTATCACGTGATGCACATCTCTGCAGCCAGCCAGCTGGTCTACTAGTGCTACTTATCTCACCCCCTTCTCTGTGTGGTAAAGCAAAGAGGAACGACAACTTTCTCACGCTGCGGTTCCTGCCTACAGTTAAGTGCAAGGTCACAGTGGAAGGGCACGTGCTGGGCATGGCCTGTGGGTAGTGGTTGACTTTGTGAGCACCAACACTCACAAATAAAAACAAGACGAACATGAGGCTTAATGCAGCCAAAGGCAGAGAGGAGGTGTTCTCCATCTCAAGTTTAACCTATAACTGCACTAACTACATTCGAGCTCAGTGACACTAGACAGGGTGCATCACTTCTTAAACCCACAGTACTACCTCACCTCTACCAACTGCTTTCCTGTTTACAACTTCAGAAGAATACATTTTCAGTTTCTCCCTCACATCGAAACAGGGAAGTACTTTTTTTTCTGCATACCGCCAGAGCATAAAACAGCTTTTTTGTAGGACAATGACTGCAATAACATGAAACGACAGATTACATGTTTAAAATTGGCACATGGCAAAATAAAAATGTGTGTAACAAAGAAGTGACTATGTTGGCATGGTGAACAGTATCGATTTCCCCATGGACTAAATCAACATAACATGCTAAACAGAAACACAACTGAACAATTAATGTCAAGTTAAGCTGCATGCTCAGTCATGTTCAAGCACACACACACTCACACACATGTATATAAAATCAGGGCTTACCATAGGGAGGTGCGGGCCGATTAGGCACATTTTTCTTTGATGGGAGAACAGGGTTGTCTGACTTCTGTTCACACACAAGGGAGAGGACAAGAAGAAAAAAAAATCCTTCACTTATCGCACAAAATGATGACTCCAACAGAAATATGAGCCAAAAGCTGAAGCCTTTGGCTTCATACCAGAGATGTTGTTTTCATAAAGGTGATAAACTGGCAGAAAAGTAAGAAATTACTCATGATGAGAGTTAAAATAACAACATGGCTTTCTACAGCTTAAGTGGAAAATTATGCTTTATGGTGGAACTGATTCAGAACTCCAAGACTCTCCAGAGCGTACCTTTGACATCTGACTGAAGTCAGCAAATCCGCCCCCCTTACTTCCAAAGGAGTTGCTTCCAAAGGGGTCTGTTGTCCCGAACACATCTGTGACAAGCCAACATTGAAACACATCAGGAACATTTGAATGTGTTTATAGAAAAAGCCAGAAACTATAATAAAGTTCAGTCCTAAACCACACATTTAAAATAATAAAACCATCTCTGCATCTTGCTTCCTCTGAAAAAAGGTCTGCTTGCTATTTTTAGGGAGGGGGAATGTGGCATGACCGTTAAATTTTCCGTGACATTTCGCAAAAACCTGGAAAGCAGAGGTTTTGTTTGACCTGACGTATGCATCTGATCAGCTAATTAAAGGCGTCAGTTGGCGTACTGTTAACCAGAACTGTGCCGGGGTTGTTTTGAAGCTCAGTTGGTATGCCGCTTAATGAAAAATAAATTGTGCTAACTGCAGATGGTTACAGTGGAAAAACAAAACATTGTAATAGAATATGTTTGTTGTGAGTGTGCAATCACAAGAGAGTCCATTCATGTGAAGTACGTAGTGTTTTTCTTTTTACGCACAGTAACTCAGCTCAGGTCTACAGCAGCCTCTGTGTTCCTCTGAAGGTGTGTAGCATGGCAGAGCAGTGACCAGAAGTAGCCACTAACTTAAAACAACTTCCGTAACTGAATGAGGCAGAGCATTTCAACAGCAGCAGATAGAAAGAAAGGACAGAAGCAGCAAGCAGAGAACTGGTTAAAGGAGTGGCACTGTATTCTAGTACAGCAGGACCAACAGTCACAACGTTTGTTATGTTTGGCTCCTGCAGGCCTCCTGTTTTTCCAGGGTAGGGGGAGTATTTTTAGTTGGCCAGTAGTTAAATGCGTAGGTACTCGACTAAAAATAGCCTGAAAGCACAGGAAAAAATGAAGCCGCAGTGAGTAAAAATTGTTTGCCCCCGATGCACCCCCCCAAAAAAATAAAACCTAAATCTAAAACGTCACCTAGAATGGCAAAGAATGGCTCTTTGAGATGTGGTTCACAACTAGAGCGTTATTCTTAAACATTCACATGTCCACTAATAGAACCACCTTCTGGGAAATCTACAAGGAAAATCTGCACTTTTTTTGGTACAGGGATGCATTTTGTCTTCCTCTGAAATCACATACAATGAATAATGTTCATCCAGTCATCGCTGTTAGTCACTTTATTAGTTATCCATCTTTTAAGATGCATTCGCACTTTCAAGTCATAGAGCAAGATGTCGACTTACAGTGAGCTCCAGTGTGATAGCGCGACATATTAACCCTTTGACACAATATTGTCAAAAGGATTGTGGCTTCAATCCTTTCAGCAACAAGTAACTCAATCTCCGTTATTTTAATCGTTAGTACTGAAAAGTACTGAAGCTTTAAAAATTTTCAGATCTTGAGTCATATTTTTAACTAAAAGCTGCCATGAGAGAGAGAGAGAGAGAAAGAGAGAGAGAGCGAGAGAGAAAGAGCGAGCGCGAGAGAGAGAGAAAGAGCGAGAGAGAGAGAAAGAGCGAGAGCAAGAGAGAAAGAGAAAGAGAGAGAGCGAGAGCGAGAGCGAGAGAAAGCGAGAGAGCAATGTTTAAATTGCACAGATTTGTTGACAACGTTTCGGTATTTGAGCCTTAGCAGGAGATTTGCTGCAATTGTGGTTCTCAAAAACAATAACTTATACCCATTAATAGGTACATTAGGCGCCTCGGTATTGTATTTTTGTTGCAGTGAGATGGAAACAGGTATCGTTTGATTTTTCTTTATAGAAGTTTAAAAATCTGGTATCATGACAACCCACCAGCCCTCCACACTAGGTCTATTCAAATAAGAGAGAATAAATACCCTATATACCAAATAAATCACATTTTGCTTTATGTTCCGTTTTTATGTGGAGACATTGTATGTAAATATGAACAGAAAGTTGAAAAAAATTAAACTGCATAATGAAGAGGTCCAAATCAGCTAAAGGTTTTTTTTCCACAAACTAATACTACCTCAGCTCACACTTAGACATTTAAATGAGAAAGTCCACTCTCTATTGACAGGCGTTATAGGATACATACGACCAAGCATCATACCTGAGTCCTTTGGTTTGGGGCTGTTTGATGTGAAAGCGTCACTGCTGCTGAAGGCACTTGGCTGAGAGGAAACAAAGTAAGAAAAATACAGAAGGGAAGTTATTCATTCACCATGTCAGCAAAACCACACAAAAAAAAAACCTCTTTGTGCCGTTGTCTGTAATAGTTAGGACACTTCAGAGCTCGTCTCTCTCAGCACACAGAAACCACAGCAAGCCATCAAACATAAGAGTAGAAAGAACCATTCTGACCCTTTGTATTGATTGTTCCTCGATAATATAACATGAGAAAGAAAAGTGATAATCACTCCAACAAACAAACATCAGCTAAGTGAGGGTGCTGGATACCTTTGCTGGCGGCGTCGGTTTTCTACCAAATGCTTCAGAGGATCCAAATACGTTTGACTTGTCTGTACTCTTAAAAAAATCATCGGATGAGGTGCCTTTGAAGGGATCGCTTTCTTTGAAAGGATCTCCGAACGGATCTAGAAAAGGAAACAAAAGTGTCATAGAGTCATTTCATGGGTTAGGCACACACTAAATCATCGTCAGACTTTAAATATAAATGATCAGAGCTGTATTCTTGTTTTCCCACGGTCTGAACACAGCGATTATTTCCTTTTCTAACAAAACAACTTCAACGTAGGTACATGTTCAGTATTCAATGGAAATGCTTCATGACAGGAGCTCAAACGTAGTGCAGATGATTATAGAAAGAAAGGAAGTGGAGAATAAAAACACAGCTTTCTGACCTTTAAAGGGGTCGGCCTTGAAGGGGTCCTCTGTCTGGAAGGGGTCTACTGGAGGCTGCTTAGCGCTGCTGCTGTTGTTGAACATGGCTAACTTTGACTTAAAAGAGTCATCCTGATAAATGGATGCAGAAAGACAATAAATCAGTCCAGTGTTCAAAGTGTCACAAAGCTTTTCATTCACAAGGCATCACTAAGCATGTTTCATCACAGTAAGAAAATAAAGTTTCATCATGAAATAAATAAAAATATGTTAATGTGTGCCATGAGGTCCTTTTCCATTCTAACATGCAGAAAAATATATTACTAACTAAGACTATGAAACTAGGCAATCAAATAAGGTTTCATGGGCATCAGGTCGTAATAATTCTGCTTTATGAAAAAAACTTAAAACTTAAAAGAATTCTTAAAATTAGGACAATGTGACTGAAACATGCAGCTTGATGGATTTCAAATATTTTAGCTGTTTCTCCTTTTTTCTATTTATTGGTTAGGAATCAAAATCTGAACCAGGATTATTGGGAAGAAAAGTTTCTTGCTTTTAGTCAAAATTCTGGAGAGGTAAAAAAAGGATATAGAGTATTCATGCTCTCACCACACTTCTGAAACCTCCGTTCTGCCTCTCAGCGAACCCTTCACTTAAGTCGGGCAGGTTGCTGACATTTCCACCGTTTATGTCGCTCAAAGCGCCGTTGTATTGCTCGATGGTCTTGGTCATCTCCTTTTGGCTGTCCTGGATCAGGGACAGCTTGCTGCGGGCCTAGATACACAGATTGCTAAATCGATATTTGATTCCATAAAATACTTAAACATGATCTCCTCTATTGTCACTTGTCTACTATTTTTCAAAGCTGTTAACACCGGAGAACTATAAAACCAGGCGCAGGTGAGTAAGCCATAATAATCTCAGGCAACATTTTCAGATAGAAAATGCTGAGTTTACACTCCCGGACATAAATATAGATTTGCTTTCTTAGAAGTTAGTCATGGGTTAAAAATTGGCTAATTATGTCATTTGATGTTAGTGGTTAAGTTGATCAAATAAATTGAACTTAACCACTGAGATGTGACGGTTTCACTTCAGTGCGATTCAAATCAGTTTGATTCAAATCAGTGTGCTCCAGAGCATGATAAATACATTTCACAAATGCACAAAAGTCCTGAAAATGTCTCTACATTTTCTGTGTGAGCTACATGTGTGAATGAAAACCATCAAATTATTCATCTAGACTTTTCCAGTCAGCCCTTTTTTAAAATGTCATTGTGAAGTCGGGGTGAGCAGCAGGGGAAAGTCAGAGATGTGTGATGTGGGGGAGCGGGGGGGTGATGATGTTTATAACACGTGACCAGAGAGCGACCGGTGCAATCATAGAGCATGTAATAAAGCAGCTTCCTACTCTTTCTGCTCACAGTTTGTTCTCCTCAGCTTTTTAGTTGATACTGCGGTTACATTCAATAACCCGTAGCATTGGTTTAAAGGCAAACACTGATATTATATCATCAGACTTTACATATATTGTACACATTGCTGCTGCAGCGTCACATCCTGCCTCTATAAACCCCCACACTCCCCACACTCTTGTCCACTAGGGAAAATGTCACACTGAGAGGGACAGGTGTGAATAACTAATGTTACAAATGTTCTGTTTTTAACTCTGCAAAATGCTATAAATTGCTTTATGTATTAACGGGGCTCTATGAATAAACTCACCTTGAAAAATTCAGGGGCAGGCTGTCCTGAAATGTTGTGGACATTTTCATGAGTGCTTATTCATAATGTGAAAGCAGCTTTAGACAAAGTGGAAGTAAACGTGAAACAAACAGCTCTACCTCCACAGAGAGGTCTGTATTCTTATTGGATAACCAGAGCTTCCTATATATCAATTTAAAAATCCCTGTAAGTTCACCACTGAGATTCCACACAACATCCACCTGTGGTGACTGACCTGGTTGATCTCTTCCTGAGTGGTTTTGAGGGACTTGATGATGCTGTCCAGCTGCACTCGACCAGTCAGCAGGCTCTGCTCCAGCTGGGCCTCCTCCTCCTGCAGCCTGCTCAGGTCCATCTTAGTGCGGCTCAGTTCATCCTCCTGACTCCGGAGATCCGTCTCTTGAGAGTGGATTTGGCTGTGCAGTGACGAGATCTGGACGGTGAAATTAAGAGAAATGTTCATTAGATGGGAGTCTCTTTTAATTAAAGTAGCTGAACATTTTTAGTCATTGCTACTTTTCAGAATACAGCACAAGACCTCACCAAAACCACCATATTTAAGTTTCTTCTGAAGATGCCAGAAAAATACAATGGTTAGCATAACACTTATACTGTGTTCGTCATTACACTTACTTAAGTTATGCTTTTTCTCTAATTTGCATCAAAAGAGACCAAACATTAAACACGTAAAGGTTTTAATAAAAGGTCAATATTTTCTTAGAATACTAATTAAGCTTTACTGCGCTTTATTTGATTAAAATCTGGTTAATATCTGATATCACTTTCTAAAAATACCAAAGCATGATCTGCTTAATGAATAAAAGGTGGCACCATTTTGCAGTACTACCATGTCACACGAGGCAAAATACTAAATGCTTAACAGCTGATTTCCTTTTTTGTTTTAACATATATGCATGTCTTAAATGTGACAAGTCTCGAACCAGCTGGGACTCTTCCTGGCACTTCTGCTTGACGTCATTGAGCATCCCCTCCAGCTTGGAGCGTTGCTGGTCCATCTCCTCCAGACGCTCCTGGGCATCCTGTTTCTGTGACTCCAGGTCCTGCAGGCTGCTGCTCTCCCTGTCCAGGCCATTCTGCATGTCCTGAAGGTCAAACACACATGCACAGGCGTTTCTATGGTGCAGCAAAGCAAAGCGTCTTTTATCTACTGATTAACTCTGAAGCCAACGTACCTAAAAATATTGTCTCATTTGGCTGGGAATCAGGGAGGAGTTGATTTATATTTAGGCACTGTGAGCTGGTAAGCCTTACCTGAACTTCACTGTTTTGTTGTCTCATGGTGTCCTCCTTTTCCCGGATCTCTTGCTCCAAAATGAATTTCTCTCTGTGGGTAAACAACAAAGTGAAAAAGCAAAGATAAATAATATCTTACTACTTCCTCCTAACAAGGCTCATGTTGAGATTGAGACCAAACTTTCTGAAATAGCATCAGGATTTTTTACATGCTTGAAAAAACAGACTGATGGGATTCCCCAGAAAACAATGCCACAAGTGGCAAACACATTAGTAAATTGCAAAAAAAGCGAATCTCCACTTTATGGTCACTTTACTTGACGTAAACTGTCCTGATGTGGAAACTTGAGCATGCGTGGGCAAAAACGAAAAAGATTCATGGTTGTCTTATACTGCTTTTGGCGTAACATGGAGATGGAGGGATTTCCAAAAGAATAAACATTAGGAAGCAGTTAAAGATGTGGCATCTGTTGCAACAATTGATCCGTATTCTTTCCATGACCCTTCGGACAATATACAGCCTTGAAGCATTGCCAATTATCAGTTCTCCAGGCACTTCCTTGTAAAATATCCTCAATACCTTTAAGGATAAAAAGTGTGATAAGAGCACCCTGTTAAGTAAATGTTCACCTTATTCAGCAGAAATATATCTCATAGTTTTAAGGAACTTTGATCCTGCACATCCTTTCTCTGTAACCTTCCCTCCTCCGTCTCAAGGGGAGGAAGAGAAACAAAGCTGTCCTCCTGCTACTCAGAGTTCAGGGGCTCACCTCTGCAGCTGAGCTATTTCCTGGCTGAGGTCATCCAGCTCTTTGAAGCCTGTCAGCTCAGCAGACCCTGTGGAGCTGTTGCTGTCCTGAGGCGAGAGACAAAGACGGACGAGAGCGAAGGGGGGGAGAGAAGAGGAGAGTGGGGTAAGAAAATAAGATGAATCAAGTAACTCGAGGACAGAGACAATAAGAGAGAATAAAGAAAGACAGGAGAGGGAAACAAGATGCCAAACAGAGGTGAGAAGGAGGGAAAGAGAGAAAAAAGGGAGCAAGAGAGCAAAGGGGAAATGAATGGTACTAGAGGTAAGGAAGTAAAACACAAGATGCAGGAAAGGGGGCAAAAACACCTCCAACAGGGAGGACGCAACATTTCCAGACAACACATGAACAATGACAAATACATACAAACTAGACAGATTCATTTGATTCTTATAGATTGAAATGGGACTAAAATATCGTTGCACAACAAATTAAAACGTTGATGAATAAAAACGTTCCAAAACCATCTTCCCTTTACAAGAAATGAAATCATTCCTGCACTGATCAGCCGTACTGTATGCTACATTACAAGATTAAGAGGGAAAGACCTGAAAGGTTTCTTCTCCAACCTTAAAAAAGGAAAACAAGAACTTTATGTTTGAAATAATCTCTCTAATAGTAATTAAAAGAGTTAGCATTACTATATTTCTTTTAAGCTCTTGCTTCATTGATTTTCTTTATTCTTTGACATCCCTATGTGTGTACTTGGGTTGTGTAATGATACCAGAATTTCAAACTTTGATATGATATGAGTAAAAACCTTACAATACCTGTTTCAAAAAGAAGGCAACAAAAATAGAAATCCTGGGCAACCAATGTTAGGTATTTCCTGTTTTTAGTAACCATAAATCACAAGAAAACTCCTTTACATTCTCTGAATTGCATAAATACATTGTCAACGGGATAACGTATTCTTGCAGTTTAAAAACTTCTTATCTAATCAAACTGACCGGAGAATTTGAATGAACAGCCGCTGCTCTCTCTTTCACTTGTGGCAGCTTTGGGTTTAAAATACGACTGAAAATCTGACGTTTTTTTTTAAGCTTTCATACTTTTCAAGTCTATCTATGATATTATAACAGAGATCTTTTTAATGTTTAAAAACACATGGCGAGGAAAAGTATCAAAGTACCGACAATTTTGACAACCCAGTGTTTACACACAAAGACTTTCTGGTCTCTTCTGATTTGACTTTTTCCTGCCTTTGTTTGTTTGTTTATTTGAACTGACAGTTTACCAAAAAGTAACTTTTCTTTCTAACAGAATGAAAAGCTGCAGCCTGATATTTGATGAACCAACAAACTAAATTAACAACTGGAAATAAAAAAAAAAACATTTAAAAATCTAAAACCTGCTTTTATAATCTCTGATACTACGCTGGTTTAAAAAGGACACATCTTTAAATGTTCTGTTAAAGATGGCAGACTTTGTAATCACTGTTTGGCTGGAGAAGAACAGCATTACACCTTCTGTAAATATTCTATATTCATTATCGGCCGCTAAAGTAAGTGTTGCTTTATGTGCATTATAACTTAATAATAAAGTAAATCATGGAATTCTGGAAAGAGGTTCTATTGTCATACCATTAATGAAACAGCAGGTGGCAGTGTCTGCCTTTAGCACATTTAAGGTTTAGAACAGAAAATTAATTCTAATCCAAATCAATATATACATACACATACATATATATACAAAATGTAAACTACATTGCAGAACAGAAATGTGCAACACTTTTGGGGAAGATTAATACAAAAATGGATACAAAAAAGGAAACTGTTTCTAGATACACTTTAAGCGTCAGACTGAAACAGAGAATATGACAGGACAACAGTGCCACCTTGTGACAAAGCGGTCTTTTACTCACTCTGCGCATATGAGTGAGTGAGGCAAGGTCAGGTCTCACAGCTGGCATAAACCCCACATAGCTCTGTTTGAAAGGGGGGAAGAAAGCTCAGAAAAGCAGAAGCAAGACAACATTTTGCAAGGCAATGCTGAAAAGTCAGAAAGCAGATCTCAGCATCCAGAATGTATAAAGCGGCAGGACAACAGGTTCCTGAGGTACATATGCAATGGAAAATGTGTCGTCTTTAGAAAATAGTAAGAATTTCAATAAATGAGGCTAATGACAGGTAAAGTTTATGTTTCAGGACTCACTTGACCCGCTGCTGAAGCTGCAGGCCTCTCTGAGGGGGGAATCATGTCAGGGGTTAGGCTGGAGGGAGGGTCTACACCTTTAGTGGCCTTTTGCTGGATCAGATACATGGCCAGGGAGAACTGCTCCCGGTTCAGCTTGCCCGTCTGTTTAGTGTCAGCAAGTCCCCTGCAGAGAGAGGAGAGGATGCATGTGTGAACAAAACTTCACGACTACTTTATTCAGTCACTGCGGCCCGCTGGGGGTGATGACGTTTATATCCTGCCACTGGTACAGAACCAGTGTTCTTCATGTGTGATAATGTAGCTGCTCCATGCTCTACTCATGTATTTCCACTCATTTGTATGATAAAGCATGAGGTTAAGACCTGCTCTTTTGTAAAGTTACTTGAGATAACATTTGTTATGAATTGGAGCTAAATAAATAAAGATTGAAGGAAAAAACTGTCCGATAGAATCAGGATCTGTTGCTTTGTCTGCTATCTTGGAAATCTTGGAAACATTGCACTGTGACTTCTGCAGCATCCTTTTTAAGTCATGTCTTGACCTTCCTCTTTCCGACAGGAAAAGTCTCACATTGTGAGGGACATTTTCAGGAGAGAATGTGTGAAAAAGAGTTCTGAAAAAAAAAGCATGGATTGTCCACTAGATGGAGCTAGTGTTAAAGCTGGTGAGAATATCAATGCATACAGCAGGTGTGGCTGATTTTGTTGTGAAAATGCAAAAGCAGATTATGCAATGTTAAATTGGTGCACATGTTTCCCAATTTCTTTGTGTTATTTGAAGGTGTAGGGCTAATTTCTTCATGTCGAATGCTTCTGTTATAATCCTAAAAGTCTAGTCAGGGAGAGGGGTTGCAAATGAGCCAGAGCTAGAAACCTGTATGCATGGCGTCTACTTTGTATTTTAAATATGAAGTAATGTTTATTGCATGTGTGACCCTGTTAAATAAACAAACAAATGTGCAGTTCATTTGTATTGGTTGTTTTATTAATATGTAAAAAGAGCGCTGTAGAAGTGTTGGTCTCACCATATCTGTGCCAGCATGGTCTGCGAGAGAGTGGACAGCATGAAGATCTCAATCACCTCAGTCCCAGTAACCAGGCCGTCATTATCAGAGTCAGTTTTCTTAAAGATCTCATCGTATCTTTCCCTGTCGGCCAGCGGTACCACCCAGTTCACAACAGGCTAGAATGAACAAAACACAACATTCACACGGTTTTAAGCAAAAGGACACAACATCTGGTTAAACATAGTAACTACATAGTATAGTAACTAGATCAACAAGAGTTGTCACTCACTATACCAGAATTTTGAACTTTGATACGATACTAATACAAATCTTAATGACATCGTTACTTGCACTCAATATTTAATAATGTCCTTGTTTTTAAAGACCAAAAGCCTGGAACTTTTTGATGCCTCTGATCACTGAAACAAAACAGATTGTATCATTTTTAAAAACTCAAAACTAGAGAAAATTTGTACAACCTTAATACCACCAACAAGTACCATCATATAACTTGGCATACACTCAGTCCTTTGGGACTTGGGCTGGGAACTTAAGGGTCACCGGTTCAAGTCCCGGTGTGACAAAGCATGAAAATCGATTTGGTTGCTGGAGAGGAGCCAGCTCTCTTCCGAGCACTGTTGAGAGGCCCTTGAGCGAGGCATCGAGCACCAAAACTGCTCTTTCATGTGCAGCTTCTCACCCCGACATCTCTTCATTAGTGAATGTATTTAGATTCCTGCATGAGGATTTGTCCTCATGCAGGAATGAGGATTGACCTATAATGCCCATTTAAATAACATTTTTAAAAAATGATGTCAAATCTGAGTTTAATTTGAAGCTCCTACAAAAAAAAACAAATACACAAACAAGAACATTTCATTTAAACAAATCCCCTTATGGCTGGTCCTAACTTTTTTAGATAGGTAATATAAAAATGTAATTTATATAAAAATGTAATTTAGGAGAAATGTTGAGAAATTGAGGAATGAGAACTGGCACACAAAATTAAAATTACAGCAATGGCTCATCAGCCCAGCAGGTGATCATGGTACAGTGTTACAGAGTTTTTCTTCTCTAACCTCTCTAGGAAACCTGTTCCTCCAAGAGTCACGGATGAAAAATCCCTGCAGCCATAAGGAGGTTAAGAGAAACAGACTGGGCTGTGCACAATGCACAAAACAATGTGGAAAAACAAGTCCACCCATCATCACAGAGGCAGGAAGAATCAATACATGTAATGAGGGTTTCTTTAAAGGCAGAGGGAGGAGTATGGAAAACACTTATTTTGTTGTTAAGTATTCGCATGTTCACATGCAAATACTTAACAACAAGCCAAGTTCAGATGGAGCATTTTTATGAAGCCAGACATGAATCTACACAAAGTGGCACAGCACGTTTATCAAGCATGCACGCCTTTTTTAATTAATACAGGGAGGCAGCTGGAACTACAACTGAAATGTAGCAGGACATTAGACCTGTGATGTAATTAATTATATGTATAAAATTATTTTTCACAACATTTTTTAAACTAGATTCCTTCTGAATTTTGATTATTTTTGTTATTATTATGCAATTGTGAAGACGATAAAAAAAATTATATTTTTAATACCAATACTTATTTAATAAAAAAGACAGTGTATTAAAATACCAGCCGATGCAGTGAATTATTAGTTTGAATGGAAATGACTCTCTGTGTTTTTTGTGCATCCAAATTTCTGTGAAAGGTTCTCGGAAACTTGCTTTCTTTAAAATAACTTCAACAACTTCTAAACTATCTGCTCAGCTGTGATGCTCTGATCATTTTGCTGCAGGCACTACTGAGACGTATTCACAAATATGGAGCCAAAGGGTGCTTTGCAAGACAAACTATGTGATTGCACATTTTCAATCACCCCAGGCATTTCCTTCTAATTTTACGTTCTGTGTGAAGTGTTTCACACAGGTACATATCCGAATGCTACCGTAGAAATATCTTTATGGGGCTAGATCAGCCAGGTAAGATTGGTGAAGTGATGTATATTCCACAAAATATGTATGTTTGGGTTAAACATTCTTAGTGATTAATAATATTATATCTTTTACGTGCCTCTGTCAACACTTCAAGAGAAACAGAGGAAAGGCAACGTACCGGTGTGCTGGATTTAAAGGAGTGTTTTGGTGACAGGTTGACAGTATTGTTGCTATGGAGGGCACTGCTGCCCAGAGGAGGAGTGCTTCGCAGGGAATCTTTAAGAGGAGCAGGGCCAGCCATCAGCCCAGACAGAGCAGGTAGAACAGCCACAGCACCTGGAAGTGCTCCTGCAGTCTTCTTTCTTTTAGATGGGGGGATGAGGTTAGTTGGTAAGGATGTTGGGATAGGCTCCTTCTCCATGGCACGATACACAAGATGCATAGCCTAGAATATGGGACATTAGATCATTTATTAGCATATGATATTGTGGTTATTACTCATTTTATTTTGCTTTTAGGAGTAAGAGCTGAACTTCAAGTGAACAAAAGATGTCATATTCTCACCACTGTAAACTCTTCTTTGTCCAACAGTCCATCTTTGTCAAAATCACTTAGATCCCAAATCTACAAAAGAATTTACAAAATATAAAGAACTTAAACTGCTTTGGATTTGCCTTTATGTTATTTATATAAATCTAACAAGAAATATCACCTTTCCCAACACATCCAGAGGTAGCTTGGAGTTTAGCAAAATGGGCCTGACTTTGTCACCCGGCAGGAGTCCATTTACAGGTGATAGACTCTCAAAAATGCCCTCAAACTTCCCTTTTTCCTCAGGCTGGAAAAGAAAAGAAACGAAACACAAGTTTAGATCAAACGCTGGATTCTAAAACATGCAAGGATATTCTAAAAAAAAAAAAAAAACCCGTATCAGCTCACCCTAATGGCCCACTGAGAGTCAGGTGCAGCGGTCGAAACACTTAATAAAGGACTGTTTGTGTCTATCTGCAGAAAGATAAACGTAACAGAGAGGTGATTAAACACAGTGAGGGGTGACGTTTTTCTACACCCAGTTTGTTCCATATCACATCACTGGATTTTGCAATTGTCAGGAATGTCATCCCATCACTTACAAATTTGGGTACAGCTAGGTTTTGGTTGAGGTTGTGAAGGCTGATGTCATTTCCACCCTGTGCTGACGCCACTAGTCTCAGAGCTATGAAGAAACCCTAAAAAAAAAAAAAGAGGAAGAGAGCAAGGCAAATCCTGTATTTAATGCAAACATCAGCAGCATCGGAAAAACCACAGTCTCCAGAGACAATCTGTTACCCTCTTATCCAAATAGCCTCTTCTTTCTGAATCGGCCAAATCCCAAATCTAAAAAAAAGAAAAAAAACATGTGAAAAAGAGTTCAGCTGTTAAACACATTAGTGAGTTGTGTGTTTACATGAGTAAATGTCCCACCTTTCCCAATGTACTGTCTGACAACCCTGACTTCTTAAGGAACTGAGCTGCATCGCCGGCTGATATTTTCCCTGTGTTTCCTGGATCGAGCTGCAGAGAATCAAAGAACATAATACTGAATGGATACAGCAGACAAATCCGTGTCAAAGTCACGGATCTAACATCATATATTTGACTCAGCTAAATGACAATGTGAATAGGAAATCAGAGCATTAACTCAGAGCTTACCTTCCTGTAGTAGCTGTCATAGGCTGGGTATCCACCTGAGAGCTAGATACGCAGACAGGGAAGAAATGTAAGAACAACAGTGTCACATACATAATACACAGTAAGAAAATTGTTTACTTTCATTAGTATAAGTACCTATTCATTAGAAATAATATCTTCCTTCGTCTATGAAAACGTTTAGTAGGTCTGCTATCCTCACTTCACCTAGCTAACAATGTTGACTTTGCTGTCAGCGAAAATAACATAATACGGCTCAACTGAGCAGTTTTCATAACTGCTTATAGGGCTATAGATAGGGTTAGAACATAAAATGACTGTCATCGTCACTCTATAGTCACTAGTGTTCAAATATAAGAGTTATTCTGAGCTGAGAGTTTGTTACCTGACTGGTCGTCATGAGCGCCGCCATATTTCCTGGTGACTCGGGAGCGCGCACACGCCCCTTAAACTGATCGGGGACGAGCGGCGACAGAGCGGACGGGACGTGGGTTCCGGTTGTTTTGTTGCACTGTCTCTGACTGTCTGCAGCAACTATGAGGCCAGTGGACCTGCACAACTGTTAACCAGGATGATAAGAGCAATTACAGACAGGGAAGTTATTGCTCAAGTCCTTAGCTTTGACTTGATACGTCACTTTCTCAGTCCTGGTGGAAAATATGACAAGGCATAGGTGGTGGTCCAATGTGGTTTACATAGATAGATAGATAGATAGATAGATACTTTATTGATCCCGAGGGAAATTCAAAGCATCCAGTAGCAGGTTACAAACACGTACATGACATGAAACATTTGTTAACCCGAAAAAAGATTTAAAGAATACCCCTAGATCAGGGATGGGCACACTTTGGTCACAGCAAGGGGCCACATTCATTTAATTCACACTGCCAGGGGGCCAAATTGTAGGATGCAAAAACGATAACAGTCAATTATGTCTCAAATTTAACTCAACATATACCAGTGATCAAATATTATTATGGAAATATTTCTGGTTTTCATGATTTCATGGCAGATTTGGTCACGTTTTCTTCATGTTTTGATATGTAAAAATTGACCTGAGGGCCACATTGAGGGTTGACGAGGGCCACATGTCAGTTGCCCACCCCTGCCCTAGATGAATCAAACTTAAACTGTGCAATTAAAAATAGATTTATACAAGAAATGTACATAACCCATGCAGGGATAAAGAATACATGTTTAATTTCAAGCAATTATTAGACCTGAATATAAAAAAATAAAAAGTGTTGACCTTCTGAAGTTGTGCTGTTTATATATGTACAGCAATGTTTTAAAAAGCAAATAGTGCAGAGTTATCAAAAACATACATTAAATAACAGGCAGTGCAAACATTAAATTAAAGGTGCTATTTAAGTAATTGAGGTGATCATTAAAGTGTCCAACTAGAGGCTGACTCTTGGGACAGCTGTGCAGATGGGAAGTGGAAAAAGAAAGATTTAGTCCAAGTGTGTGCTTTCCCCCTGCCATAACCGTGAGGTGTTGTACAGACGTACGGCCAGGGGGACAAAAGAGTTCTTAAGTCTGTCTGTGGAACGGGATTGTGACAGCAGTCTGCCACTGAACACACTCCTCTGCCTGCTGAAGGTGCTGTGCAGAGGGTGGTGGGTGTTGTCCATGATGGAGAGCATTCTGTTCAGGGCCCTTCTCTCTGCCACTGTCACTGTCATACACATGATGGTGTATTTATTTTACCTTCTCTGAAAATAGTGCTTAATATAAAACTGGACTACCTACTTGTACAGCCCCCTCCGCGTCCCCATAGGTTTACTGTGTGGTTACTAATAATGTTGATGGTTTTTTTGTAGACTTATAAACCTCTTTATTACAATTCAAACCTCGTTTTTTTAGGCAATCCCATAGCTATAGATGACACGCCATGTGTCAAAATTACAAACGTGGAGTTGGGTTGCATTGTATTCAAACAGTTATAATGATGTGTGTAGTGATCTGGAGAGTTTGAGGAATCTTCCATCATAACTCAGCTGTGTAAATACAGCTCAAAGAGTGGGAGGAACTGTGGCTCCATAGGGAGCATTGCGATATCTACAATTAAATTTGCCCAAGGGACCCTAAACAGATCACATCAATTGAGCAATTAATTTTCCCTTTCAAAAATAAAACTGTATGAATTTCATCAGTTGATATATTAGCAACAATTATCATTACCGATTATCAACTGTTCTCTATAGAAAGCTCACCTAATTTTAATATAAATAGTTAATTATTCCAACATAAAACCCAAATCCCATTCCATGTTTAATACACACAAGGTGTATATCTACAAGATATAAACTACACTTTTTTCCAAGAAGAGCACATTATAACTAAAAAAAAAAATGGGCAGGCAATTAGGTTATAATCTTTTTAATAAAAACTTTGGTATCATTAACATTCTGTCCAATAAAAATCATCCCTATGATTTCACAAGTCACTCCAGGGGCTCCCCATATGTTCTTCAGATTTCCAGGATTTAATGCAGGTTCCATCATATTACCATGAAGACACTTTCAAAGTATGCAATTTACTGTAGAGAAACTATTTCATTGTGCATTAAGATGGAGACTGATTGACACTTCCTTCAATTATGCATTTTAAGTCTGGGAGAAACATTGAAAGTCAGTGCCACAGACATAAACAAGTTACATTACAGTCTTGATTTGTCTGTATTTTGTGATCGTTTTGCATTCAGTCAGTCTATGTATCTCATTTTCAGGTATGTGCAGTTTACTTTTCATGAGGCTGCAATAGATCAGTTTTAAATTCTCAGTTTTCTTTTATTTACCTCTTTTGTATACCAGCTTTTGGTAAAATTGTGAAACCTTGATGAGAAAATCTGCATATAACATTGTGTGAATCAAGGAAAAAAAGTGAATCTCTATTCTCTGTTATTTCAAAATGAGGAATGCACCTTGAGCATAGAAAACACAAGAATCAACTAAGCAGCTCAGGGGCAACAGGGAAATATGACCAAAATGAAAGAGAAACTAAGTCCATCAACACCCAATTCACTACCTTTGCACCCTAAGTTGGGTTGTGTCCAAATCTCAGGGAGAGGATGCACAGCAGCCAAAATACCCCTGGGAAATTCAGGACAGAGTTTCTAAAGGAGGGACGTACAAAATCTACAGCAACACCTCCTCAAAGCTCATCTTTAAGCTTTGCTTCCTCCTCATCCATTTCTGAAAGTGCCTCCTCCATTTCGTCCTTTTCTTCACTCATGTCTTCATCATCCTCCTCCTCGTCGTCCTCCTCGTCAGCTTCAGTCTCTTGTTCTTTGTTCTTCTCCTCGTCTTCTTTTCGTTTCAGGTCATCTTGCTCCTGTTTCATTGTCTTTTCGGGTTCCTGTGGGGGAAGTTAAAAAAACAAATTCACAAACCATGTCTCTGGATCTATTCAGTATCCCACTGGCAATGGTTAACATGTTGCTCCAATAGAAATACATGGCCTAAAGAGGGCACCAGTACTAACATACCTTTGTCATCCCCCATGTCTCCTGTCCAATCTCTTCAGCCTCCTTCACATCGTCTCCGATCAGGAAGTTATCAAAGATGGTTCCAGATTTCACCTGAGATAAATATTAATGAAAGTTTGACAGTAGTTCTAGAATAACCAAAGAAATAAGATTCATTTTCAAATCCAGATTGGCTCTCTTACCTGCCAAAGATCCAGACCTAGAACACCAACTTTGTCAAACTTGTAGATGTTCAAATCAGGGCTGTATTCAGGATTGTCAATCTCAGGGTGCACCCAGGTTCCTTTGTAGTTGGGGTTGTCAATCTGTTTGGGTTTCCATTCTCCCTGTAATACAGAACGTGTTAATTAGAATTTGGTGAATGTTAAGCATTTTGCAGCCAGACTGGATTACTAAAAACACAAGCCCTGCCCATCACGATCTAACTTTAGTATACCTTGTACTCTGGGTTTGGGATCATAGGTGGCTCCCACTCTCCATCCATATCCTCATCCCAATCCTCAGGCTTTTTAGCATCAGGGTCTGGAATGTTTTCAGCTTTGTCCCAATCCTAAAAGGAGAAGAAGTAACACAAAAACTGAAGTTAAAATACAGAAATACAGTGCGCGCCCCATATATGGAGGCTGTAGTCTTCCAAGCGGGCGGCCCAGGTTTGAATCCAGCCTGTGGCTCCTTTCCCGCATGTCATTCCCCACTCTCTCTCCCTGATTTCTCACTCTATCCACTGTCCGATCTCTCAATTAAAAAAGGCACAAAAAGCCCAAAAATAAACCTTTAAAAAATAAAATACAGAAATGAGTGAGTGAGTGTAAATTAAGCTCTTGAAAGATCAGGACTGCATTGGAAATGTTGGAGAAAAATAAAAAAACATCCCTCCCCTTTCAGCATTTCTTATCAACACAACACCCAGGAAATAGAAAATGTCACATTTTACACGGGATGAGGCTGATTCATTTCATAATTCACCTCAGGCTTTGTGTCATCAGCATCATCAACCTTTGCACGATCATCCCAGTCCTCTGGCTTCTTGGCTTCAGGGTCCTTAACTTTCTTAGGAGGCAGGAAGTCCCAGTCTTCCTCCAGACTGCCAGATTCTACCTTCTCATTATCAATTTTCACCTCATAGGTCTGATCGGGATTCAGGATTAGTGTGTACAGATGGGTCAGCTCATCATCCTAGAAGAAATATCAGCATTTGGAATAAGCCACTGGTACAGAAGTAGTGCATATTTACATATAATTATAAGAATATTTTGTTATATTAAAATGTTAGTATTACCTTGCACTTAATCTCTTTCTTGATTAGGTGATTCTTGCCTTTGTAATTGAAGATGACATGGACTTTCTTGGTGCTGTAGCCACAGATATCAGGGCCTGGGTGGAATTAAATATTTAAAAAGTTTTTCAAAACTGACTTTAAAAAACACTCAATTATTTCATTAAAATATTCAACTATCACAAACATGGACTTACCAAACATGACGTAGTATGAGGAGTCTCCATGCATGTCAGTCTGGTCCAGGTCTGAGGGGAAGACTTTCACGTAGCCACCACCACAGTCAATCTTTTGCTCATGCTTGACTGTAAACTGAATGACCAAAGGCTTGCCCTCGTTGCTGAAAGGCTCGAAGCGGGCAGAGGTTGCATAAAAACGAGCATCCTGGCTTGTTTGCAGACCTGAAAAGGAAAGAGCACAGTAAGATTTAAGCAAGGCAAGCACAGTGAAATAGGTCCTCTATAGCTAACAATGAAAAGTAAAGACTATACTACAACACAACAACACTAAGGCCCTTTAAACTATAAATCTGCATTGCTAAGGATACATTTTGTTTGTGCACTACATCAAGTTATATCCAAGCTTTTGAATCAAGATGCATCTAGTGATTCAACTTTTCATATGTTGTTCCCAATTAATCCTTACTATTATTATTATTATCTTATTCATAAAATACTCAAATCAGAAAAACCCAACTACCCTCAAGAGCATTTATGGCATTATAAATAAAGCATGATCAACACTGAGAAAAGGTTGTTCCCAATCAAGTGACGTGTTTTATTTTTTGTATTATGAGTGGATTTTGAGAAGAAATTCCTTTACCTTTGTCTTTCTCAGCATCTCCATAGAAGTTGCCGGCTGTTAGTTTCCACTCTCCATAGTCAGATTTGTGTTTGGAGTTCACCCAGCGACTTCTCCATTCATCTGAAGAAGAGGGGAAAACAACATCACGTTAAGTAAGCCCTTGGGACACCTCTTTCATATTCATCAAGCTACTTCCCTTAAAATCCCAACAACTGTCAGACCACCTGGGTTACGTTGTAAACTATCAAATGGACGTACTGTGTTAGTCGTTACATCGTTATGCTGACATTAAGGCCACGATTAGCAACTTAAGCATAAGTGGAAGAAAAAGAAATACGTTTTCAAGCCAGGAGGGGGGGGGGGGCCTTGCTAAAGTTAGCTACCTAACACCAAGTTACAGTAAGGACACTGAGAAATGAAGCATTTTCGCTGAATCTGCGAATATATATCACAAATATAGTCAATGATGTTCTGTGAAGAGAACATTATTTTTAAGATAAAGGTACGAAGTTCATTTTGGAGAAACAGTCAAGCTAACGTGCACTGAACCACCCCCTCTGCAGGACCAGTGTTAAATATACTTTAAAAGACAAACTTACCACCGTCCGTAAACTCCTCACGAAAGAAAACAGTGGCATGTACGCTGTACAATGCTAACACAACCACAACGACCCCAAAGACTTGCATTTTTCCACAACTTTCCACGACCGACGACGTCCTTGTTGAGAAGTGAATACCAGGTGGAGAAGGAAGAGTATTTTAGAGTCGCTCGAGCGAACAGATGTCTGCCTCCCATTGGACGACACGATGGTGTGCCTGGACCAATCACAGTAGACCACGAAACATATGTCACTTACAGGGCCTGATCCAGGATCAGTGAATAATATAACACGTCGACTTTGTCATTCTATCAACATTCCTGTAGAGGGCGCCAAATAGCAGATGTATAAAATAGTAAGAAAAGGTGTTGTTGCCAAGTCCTCTTGTTATAAGCGACTTTGGGCCTGTTTTTCCTGTAAAGTCGCTTGCAAATATCGTCATATTTTGGGCTTGTTTTCTAAAGTGCAGTTGCTTGTTTGGGCTTGCTTTGCTCCCTGTATGAACCCCTACTGATTCTCTCCACAACTCTCCACAATAAAGCGAAAAACGATCACGATAGTTTGTCCTTTTCCAGGATCCGTCCACAACCCCGTTTACCCTATGCGTTTACCCCGCGAGATCTGGCAACACTGTGTTCAGTGTGTCAGCTCAGCTACTACTATTACTGGTTGCATTGTGAAGAACCCGTGTATGAGGGACAAAAAAAGACTAAAGTATAAATACATAAATGTTGGGAGAAATGCATACAATAATGTATAAATAATTAAAAAAATGCATCAATAAATATATTAAATAATTTTATAAATAAATATATTCATATATTTATTGTGTCCATGTTTTTCAAGGAACAAGGAAAAGTAAATATGTAAATTAAGTGGGCCGTCCTGACATTACTGAAGTAGGATTGGCCAATTTTGGAAAACAGACAGAAGCAAATTTACATATATATACTTTTCCTCTTACGACCTGGACACAACTAAATAGATGTGTAAATGTAAAAATACGGAAATAAATTAATAACTCAATTAATGTGGAAATGTATGCATTGATACATATATAACTGTAGAAATACGCTAATAAATGAATAAATACATGTAGAAATATATAAATAGCCTTTTTCATTAACAAAGTGTATTTATTATTTATTCATTGATGTTATTGATATTTATTGATGCATTTATTTCATTATTTATTTATTTTTACATTATTGTATGCATTTCTCCCAACATTTATTTATTTATTTATACTTTAGTCATTTTTTGTCCCTCATACCCGTGAGCTCACGCCAGGTGAAATAAAAAAAGTAAAAGATTAGTAAGTGTACAGAATGACGAGGGCTACAACTGGACACTTCACCGGTGGGAGCAGTCGTTAAATCCCTGAACGTTGAGATAAAATTTACCGCAATTTAAACATTTCTAGTTTTAACGGCCAGTAACCATAGAAACCAAACGGTTGATAACGGTCAATGTGCGGTTGCAAACTTCATTACAAGAAAAGCAAAAAAAACACCGAGTTGAGTTTTTTTCTTAGAGTAAAACAGAAACCGCACACACAGAAAATGTGGCAAACAGGAGTCAATCTCACCTGGTGACCGACTACAGTACAGGTAAGGCAAAAAAAACATGTAATGGTTCTATTAATGGACAAGTTTTGAACTAGATAACAGCAAACGGTCCGAAATAGTTTGCTAACTGGTAGGTTCACTTTTCCTTAACGATAACATTTGATTTAACTTGGTTTATCAATTATGGAGTAACATTAGACAGATAGTAAAACGTAAGGCAATTCATTTTAATTGATACAATTTGCCTGTTTGAACGCTTATTTTAAATAAGCCTAGACTAAGTTTACAATACTGATGTCATAAGCCAGCCAAGTAGCCAATTCATTTTTTTTTTTAAGCCAGCAATGTCCAAAGCCTCATGTCTAGGTTCTACACTAGTAACTTAGAAACATGTAAATAAGGCTTAACCTTTAGTAGCTTGCTCATTTTAAATTTTGAATCACATCTAGAGAAAACAAAAGGGAGACAAAGTTTTCCAACAGCAAAGGAGGGGTTTGTCCTGTGCAGCAATTGATGATGGATACCAGGTTTGGATGTCAGGTAAATTCATTTAACAACGTTAATTATAGGGTTATTATCTAAAAAAATCAACACATTTAATTAGTTTGATGGTACAATTTGTTTAGTTGCATAAGTACATTAAATACTATTCACAACACATTTCTCTTCAGGCAAAGTACAAGCATGCCAGAGGAGTTAGAAAGAAGCTCCTCACCTCTGCACACAAGTACATGATCGATACCCTGGCAAACAGACTGTGTTTGGATCCAACAGCAGTAGAGGAATTTATTTTAGATTCTACATCTGTGAGTTTTACCTATCTTTTAAAAATATATATATATATATTCCAATCAATTCCTGGTAAGTCATAGCCATGGGGGGCATGGGACACTTTGGCCCTGTAATGTGAACATCATCATGTCTCTAAAGTAAAAGTAGATGAGAAAAGACTAAACTATATTGTTAAGAGATAATATATATCCATCTGGCAAACATATAGACTTGCAATTTCTCTGGAAAACTCCAGAAAAGCCCCATTTGAAAACCACTACAGACATTTCCAATATTTCAGTCATGCTACAGGGTTGGTGGAATTTATCATTGGAGATAAAAGGTCCTAATTATTCAATCTATCTAATTATCATTCCCTATCACTGGTATACAGTACTGTTATGCTGCTATTCATTGTTGATTTTGAGATGAAGTTTTGCCTTTGTTACCATTTTTAAAGTTTTCAATTTCTGTCCCTACTCTCTTGTCTAATAGCTGGCTGCTTTTGATGATTTCTTCGCTGAAGGAGGTTGTAAAATAATTATCTTTGTGTATCAACAGTGCAAAGTCCCAGGAATAGGTAGGCATGAATCATGCACAGTTCCATTTTTTTTACCGTCACTGCTCAGAGCCAGCTTGCCTCAATAGAATGTCTCATTCTAGTATTGGGTGTTGGCCAACATTGGGCTTCATAAACCAGAGTAAAAATATGTCAATTAAAAGAAACTATCACAAATATGAGATATCAAAAATACATCATTCAGAAATCTGAGAGCTATTCTGACATCTTGCTATCCTTGAAGGGGAAAAACAGCAGAGTTGGTTTCATTTTAACTGAAAAGAAGGTTAAGGGAAGGGTTATACCGGTTGTTTATAGTCTCTCTAGTTTTTGAAATTTTTCGGGTATAATTTGGAATACAACATTACCGAGAAGACATATGTTAATATTGTTTGTATTCATCATCAAAATTGTGAATATCCATACTTTATTACACAAAAAAAGATATCAGCATTGAATAATTCTACATATTATACCAAGTTTTTCTTCTCATAAAAGTAATTGTGATTTCAGAATGTGGACGCACATACCCTGGGACTACCAGAGGTGGAAAAGTATTAAGGCTGTTTTTAGCCGATTTGTCTAAGATATGCCTGACTGGTGTTTGCTGCTACTTCACAAGGACTAGAGTGGACGTTCCTGTGAATTTAGAGAGCATACACGAGGTAAGACCGCTATCTATATGCCTTGTTAGTTTGTAATTTTGTGATTGGGTTCTTGGTTTAGACTCATTTTTATTGCTATGTTGTATTTAAAAAGTGTGTTGGACCCCAGAAAGAATAGCCGATGTGTATGCTGTATGTTCTAATGGGGATCCGAATAAAGAAAGAAAAGAAAGAAAGAAATAATCACTGTTGAATGCAGAAATTATTAAATTGGAAATAGTGGTTCCTGTTAATAACAATGTAAAGTGCCCACTGTGCTGTGCTGGCCTCTTTTCCATTAAAGTAACATGTCTAATCACAGACATTAAATAACTTGTTTCCTCTAGATGTCATTAGTGGATGGATGACTCTATTGATGTTTTGTAGGAGATCTTCTTTTCAATGGTTGATGCCAGAGATGGCCTCCTGAAAGGAATAAGGAATACCTTCAATTTTGTGCTACCAGCTCTTGAAGCACAAAACTGGGGTGTCTTAGAAAAGACTAAGCATGGGGAAAAACTTATAAAGGACTACAAGTGCAATATAAAACACTGTCTTGACTCCTTAATTGGTAAGTTTTTGGATTGAAGTTTTGGTGGTTGGAGGGAATTATCTTTTTTTTTAACCTAAAAAAATGCCTAAACATGTTATATTATCCATTTTAATTCATATTAAAATTTTATGATGGGTGGTCTCTTATCGTTTTGGTGACCTGTAACCTAATCTTCCTTGTTTGTGCCCCAGTTATCCAGAAGCGCAATGAGAGTGTTGTTCACCTGGAAACAGTAACAGATATTGACTTCTCGAAATTGGCCTCCTTCGATGACATTAAAGATGCAGCTACTGACAATGACCTGGTGGAACGCCTGGAGGGAATTTTAAGGCCATGGTATAAGCAAATTGAGCAGGTCAGTTGAAGTTGAATTGAGATTTTTCGTTTGTTATTCAATCATTAACATGTGATCAAACTTATGTTAAAAGAAAGGGGCTTTGCCAATTGCCAGTGTTAAAGATCAGGGAACTAAGACTTAAATAATCCTGTTTCAAAAAGAAGCGCTTCAGATACTATGTAACATGTAACTTGTAACATGCATGTAACTTGGCATTGTTATCTTCTTTTTAATCTAGAAAATGTTGCTTCATTCTAACATTAAGTTGTTACTTTTCTTTGTATCCATAATCACTAGATACTGATAGAAAGTGATTCACAGAGCAAAGTAGCTGATGCTGAAGGACCACTGGCTGAGTTGGAACACTGGAAAAAAATGTCTATAAAGTTCAACTCCATCATCAATCACATCAGAGGCCCTGAGTGTTGGCCAATGGTACTCGTGCTCCATCTCAGCGATTCTGAGATCATTGAGGTATTCTCTTGAGTATTAAACTTCCACTAATAAATGACTAGGTTACAGTATAACAATTTATACAATTTTCACAAGACTTGCTGTGGTGACCCAGCTTGTGATAGAAAAGAGAAGTAATATAAAACCATTTGTTCTGGAAAATTAAAGTTGTTTTCATTGAAATTGTGCCAGAAAAACAAAGAAGAATCAAAAAATATCATAAGATCACTGTGGTTTTGTCTGGTTGTGATTAATTCCCTTGTTATGATAGTCGCTGCTGTATCTTTTGCCTGTAGATGTGGCAGGAGATGTATGCCAAGATAGCAGAGCGCACCAATGAGGCAAAAGACAACGTTAAATTCCTGAGCTCGCTGGAGACCGTCTGTCAACCTCTGTACCATGCTGACCCGGTACGTTAAGTTAAACATTTAGTGTCTAAGGAATGTCAAAGGAAAAGTTGTAAGTGTTGAATGGGGACTTTTCTATTCAATCATTTATACGTGGTATACATTTAGGGGCATAAAAGGAGATTAAGGTAAAGATACTTGATAGAAGGATGCTTCATCTTTTGTTAAGAGTCCTAATTGAAAATGCATTTGCCATAAAAATCTTGAAAATGCATGATGTTTGTAGCAGCGTTTACATAAAGTAACAGTGTTGTAGATGTAGAATTCTCTATTTAGTTAACAGAATTATTTCAGATGTAGGTTGAACCTCAGATACTGGGACATCTAGTGGTTATCAAGGAAATATCCAGGACAGCAACTTCATAAAGATGAAGAAGGCGGTTTTTAAACACAGCTTATGAGGAAGCAGGGACAGTCTTAGAGTGCTTTGAAAAGTTCTTGAGTCTCCACACTTGGCTGTCCATCACCCATTTACAAACGACGTATGTATCCTAGTTGTAGGATTGGCAGTATTATAGTGAAGAAAACATCTGTTAAAATTCACCATGAGCAAGCTGACAGTGGTGATGCATTAATATCACACAACCAGTGCTTGTTTGCTGCATTCTTCTTGTATGTATGTGCTTTTCCACTAGTTCGATTATGCTTTGGTTGCGTCCAATAACTAGCAGGATTGCTATAAATGCAAAAAAAATAAATGTTTACATCATGTCTTGCCTCCTGAAAGCCCCTGTCTCTCTTATCCAAATGGAAAAACTGTACTCTGTGAGGAATGTGTAAATATGCAGTTCAGGAAAATTTCATAGGCAGGCATAGAGAAATGTTTATTTATATTTTGGAGAAATGTTCAAGAGGGCATGTGTGAAAACAGTTTTAGTGACTCCTTCAAAGTATTAAGTCTTTATAAGAAGGTCAGAATATGCCGATAATTACGGTAATAGTGTTCTGTAGATAATATAATGGTTTATTATGTCAGGTCGCCATGAGGACAAACATGCAGAAAATCATTGATGCCATTCAGAGGATCTACAATGATTCCCTGTACTTCAATACAGACGACAAGATATCTGAACTGTACTTGAAGGTAAGTGTATTCTAATCAGTGTAAGAAAACATCTTTCCTTTCAATTTGTTTTGAACATTTTGTATCTGTATTCCTTGAAATGTTTCCAGGTCACACACCAGATGGTTACATCATGCAGATCATATATTACTGAGAATGGCAAACATCAAATATGGGACCAAGATACTGAAGACATCCTCAGGAAAATGCAGGTGATAACCACACCTATCATTATTGATTAGCTGTGTTGTCATAACACACGTTGACATCTGATTCCGACTTTATCATCCATCCTTTTGGCAGAACTGTATCAGCCTGTATCAAGAGTATCAGTGTCGCTTCCAGAAAATGAAGAAACAAACGATGGAACAGCCTGGAAAGACTTCATTTGACGTGTCAGAGACACTGATTTTTGGCCACTTGCAGGGATTTTGCAAGCAACTTGAAAAGGTGCAGTTCAAGCTGCTGACTATTTAAATCTCATTTAATTTCTCTTCAACCATAAAGCCTTGTCTAGTTACCATAAGTGTTATCTTTTGCAGATTGTAGAAATAATTTCAGTGTTCAAGAAGTTTGAACCTCTGGCAAAATCTAATATTGAGGGCATCGAGAATCTGGCCAGACAATTCCACACTATCTCCATGAACCTGAAAGGGAAGCAATATGATATGTTGAGTCTAGAGTCAGCTGAAAAGTTCATGACTCAAATCAGCCACTTTGAGGTATGTATAACTTTCCTCTGTTAACAGTCTGTAGTGCATTAAATGTAATGCAAGTTTTATTTAATTAAGAATATGGTCATATTCAATTTACTGCTCTTTATCTACAGAACCAGCTACGAACATTCATGAGTTCCTGCTTCTCAAACATCATCTCATCTCAGAAATCTCTGTCCCTAGTACAGAGGTCAGTGGGGCAAAATATAGTAGACTCATTTTAAGATTGCACTTTAGTTATTAAAGCTGTTGGTGGTTTTACATTATCATGATTAAAGGTCTCATCATTTTTTATTTGTAGTTTTCAGAGGCTGAACATTCCCTGTCTTGAAGAAGAAATACCTAACGTCTTGGGCCTTATTTTTGAAGTTTATGCCCATGAACTAGAGTTTGTGGAGAAGGTATCTTATCCTGTTGGAGAATACTTTTATGGGTAGATCTTCTGTAGATATTGACATTTCCTATTAAATTTACTGGTATACTTGACTTTTTTTCAGCACTATGACAATCTGAAAAATGATCCCCCATTAGCTGTAAATATGCCTCCTGTGGCTGGAAGGATTGCTTGGGTCAGGCACCTCTACAAAAAAATAGCTGATCCCATTACATACATACAAGTAAGCCAAAACTACTCCCACCAGAACGCCTGAATGCATGTTCATTGTTTAAAATATTTTAACCTTGAATGTATCTGTGCTGGTCAGCAACAGAAGAGCTGTGACATCCTGTGCAGCCCTGAGAGTCAAGATGTGATGAAAATGTTCAATCAAACCGCAGCTGTATTAACAGAGTTTGAGGTTGTTCACCACAAAGCGTGGATGAGTGAAGTGTCCAATAAAGGTTCTGGTTAGTTCTATTGCTCTATCTTTTAATTTTGATACCCTCATTATGTTGTAGGATTAGTATTGATTTCATATCATTCCTTCCTATTCCTACTTTGTAACAGTCTTGAATTGTATGCTGCTGCTTCGTCACCCAAAGAATGGAAAATTCCTGATCGGTTTAGATCCGAAAGTAACCGAGATCATTCGTGAGGCCAAGTGTTTGTTGGAGATGCATCTTGAGGTTCCAAAAAGAGGATTGGATTTGGTTAATTTGGAAAGCCAATTAAATGCCACTCATCTCCGACTACAGGTAAGCTATACAATTTCACAGATAGAAAGGGCCATCTTATATTATGACTTGCATGTTATTATACTTAAATGTTTTTGTAGACCATTTTGGCAGATTACGAGGCAGTTTGTGAGTGCATACCTGAACACCTCATCAGCTTGATGGCGTCAAAAAAAGAAAATGTAAGCAGTGGGAAAGTAAATTACATTTTAAAGACGAACATTTGAATGTATTATTATACTTAGTTTTGTTCGTTTTTTGCTTATATACCTTGCATAACTAAACACTTGGGCCTTCTATATGCTTTAGCTATAAGCGGGCGCATTTGTTGCTTGCTTCAGAGTGATTGGTCTTTTTTTAGTAATGTGTGTTTAGGTCCTTAAGCAGTGTTATTTCTTCATTTATCAATTTCAAGGTGGAATCTGTGTTTCAACATGGATCAGACTTTCTCGCTTGGTCAAGTGATCCCCCCTTATTGGACAAGTTCTTTCAAAAGGCTGACAGGGCTTTGTTTGAGCTCCAACATCTTGTAAACAAGGTATTGTACTGGAGAAAAGCTCAGAGCAAAATGTGTACCGTCTTTTATCTTAATTATTGTATTTGAATATGAAGTATAGTTTTTTTTTTTTTTTTATAGAATTACTATTGCAACATTATTAATGATGATAATATATGGCATATACATGTTGTTTTAGGTGCAGGAAATTTGTAAAATCCACATTGATGATGTCCTTAAAGACATCTCAGAGGTCGTGGTGATTGAACTCCCAGAAGATCACGCATCCTCACTGCAGTACCTAATCAACAATAACAAGGTACTGTACTGTTTCTACATTTTCATTTTCAGAATGAAAACACAAGTATTAGTGAATTATTAATCATCTTTCAATCATGAATCCTTAGATGATTTGATCTGTATTTGAATAATAATAATGCCTCTTATGATAATCTTCAATTGGTTTGACAATGTTTTAAAGAAATATTGATTTTGATGGCTAATCTCCTTTTTCTTATTCAAGCATCTTTGTAAGGAGCATATAAAGACATTGAACAGCAAATGTAGTAGTGTTAAAGAAGCAGTAGGGAAGCTGAGACATGTGCTGAGTGCTATTGAACCAAAAGCCATCATGACTGATGAGGAACCAGCTCCAGGTGCTCTTAAGTCTCATTTTCTAGTGTTGCACAAAGAGTGAAATACAGTTATACACCAACCACAGATAAATAATATATACGTGGTTGTTTCCCCTCCAAACTTCTTTAAAATTTTAGGAACGAGGGATGCAACATTGTCAGGAGAGGGCAAGAAGACCCCTGATGAGGAGGAGGAGGGAACTACTCAAGTAGATCCAGAGAGAAAAAAGACACACACATTTGAAAAGGTGTTTTTGTTTTCCGATTCCATTGTATTGCTCTCATGCACAGTTTGCAAACAACCGTGTTAATGCCTGAAAAACAATCTTTGTTGCAGGAGTTTAAAACGCTTTATGAATACTTCTCTTCAAGAGTATTAGATGCACTGGTCAGTACTACCAAGTTATCCCTTGACACCTTGAGTAGGAGATTATTCCACAAGTAAGTCTGTGTTTGTTGGTCAGTATGTAAAATGATGATGATATCTAGGCTAAACAGTATGCTCTGTTACAGGGCAAATACTCACAAGGAGTCCAATTCTGTGTCTGAGATGGCCCCACTAATAAAATCTAAAGTGCAACTGGTTTTAGCTAACGTGGTGAGTTCATACTAACCATTTGCACATTAAACAGCTCTTTCCAGTTCCCATGAAGGGTTATAGATAAAGTTAAACTCTTAGCCAATCAATCCAGAATACATCTTTTTTCTTCATTATAAAATTGTTGTCTTTAGGTGATGGTTCCTACTGTTGATGAGCTCCAACAGGGCATAAATCAACTCATTGAGTTGGTGTTGGAAGTAAGCAAAGGTGTTGTGTGGCAGTGGGAATACACTGATGATTCCACCAAGAAAACAGGTAAGCCATTTTTAGCATGCAAACCCTAAACGAAAAGTTCAAGAATACAATTTAAAAAAAACAATTATGAAATATGTGCTTGAGGGGGTTCTGTGGTGGGGCTCATCTTTTCTTAGTCGTAGAGGGGATCCAGGGAACAAAAGTTGGAAACCACGGGGTTAAATTGTAACCAGGGTTTTTGAATAAAGATTGTATCTCTGCACCTTGATGTTGTTCAGAATCGGGTGTCGATCCGGGATAACCCGAATGATGGTTCCCAAATGTACCTTATATAGGAAACCTGGGCTTGCCAGCACTAAGCACTTTGGATGCATTTTAAACAATTATCCACATCATGTAAACTCAAGCAGAGACATTCCCTTTACTCTTGGAATATGTAGCTTGGTGGAGATATAGTCCCATTCACTCACAAAACTATCGTTACTACAGTTTAAATGCATTACTATTGGCTGTCATCTGACGACGATTCAGCTTTTTATTAATTTTACTTATCTTCATGCAAGTCTAAAAATCGGTTTGTTATGTCTCAACTCAATTCTTGTTTCCTAAGTCTCTAGGCAGCCTAAAAACAAAGAGCAGCACCCTGAAAAGAAAGTCTTGGCTCAATAGATAGAGTAGGCAATTAGGAGAGAGAGTAGGGAATGACATACGGGAAAGGCCCCGCTTGGAGGACTATTGCCTCCGAAGATGGAGCGCAACCTAACTGCTAGGCTATCTGCGCCCACATATCCAGTGTATTGTAAAATCTTTTGACATGAATAAAATTTATCAAAGTTGAACAGCACTATAATTAGCAATTTTCAGCAAGTGTGTACAGAATTGGTTATATAAATATTTGATTAAGAGTGTTTTTTGTTTGTGATGCTGTATTACACGAAGAAAAAGAAAACTTCCATCAAGAAGTTGTGGGAAACATGGACATCGAAAAGGTCGTGGACAGTCTGAAATCCAAGCTAACCGCCCCGAAAAAACAAGAGACTGATGTTCTGAAGCAGTTCAGTCCTTTTAGAGCGATCTGGGATGAGGACCGAAACCTCAAAATCAAGGTTGTCCTGCACAAGTAACCTGTCATTGTTTAAACTCCTACTCCATGCATAATATTAACATCCCTATTTTCTTAACATTTTGAAGGAATTCATGGACAGCAATCCGTCTTTGACCCAGATCCAATCTGAAATCCAGCACTACGACTCAATTGAAAAAGAAATTGAAGATATCAAGCCCATCAAAGTTTTGGGGTGTACTGAATTGTCAACAGGTAAGCGAACTGCAGTGTATTCTAGATAGCAGCCAGTTAATTCACTACCACTCTTCTACATTTTTATTGTGTACCTGCTTCTTGGTCAAATTCCACTAAGGAAGGTAGAAAGCTAGTCAAGAGTGCTACAGCAACCAGTCAGAGGATGGAGCTAAAGCTTTAGTTTAGCCACTTCTACAGTTGGAGGCACTAGTGTAAGACTATAGTCACACAGCAGTGCTCAGATGTAAATGCTTACTGTCTTTGATGACATTGTTGGCATGAAATAACGTTCACCAGCACAGTGAGCTAACATGCTAACATTTGCTATGAACTACATTACATATGGCACAGTTAAAGTACTGGACAGGTGAAATTGTTACCTGATGATTGCAGGATAAGAAAAGGTCAATCTAACATGAACATTCATACAATTATAAAGACGTTTTACTATAAAGAAATGTATCTCATGGTGGCGTTACAGAAGGAACCTCAACCCAAGTTATTCAATCTCTATTCAGAGAACCACAAAACACATTTTTCAATCCTTATTCAGAATCCATCAAGTTCTTTATTATATCTGTCTGTGCGGACCCAAATGGTGGATTGACTATCATCACCATCTCTGCCACATGTGGAGCAAATGTCTACCAACAAGAATGCTTAGGAAACATTTGATTGAATAGGAAATGTTCAAGTTTTTATTTATGTATATTTTAAATAGTGATTGTAATGGAAGAAAAAAAAAATAGGATTCTAATTTTTTGTTGTAAATCCTATGCAGTAACCCTGATTGTTTATTCTATAACTGTGAGTTTGTGGTATAAATAGTGCCCTTTAATTTCCCAAAATGTACTGTATTTATTTTGTCTCCCGCTTTGGCTATTTTATCATTTTAGTCAAAACAGTAACATAATATTTTCTTTCTACTTCATGTCCTCACTTTTAGGTTTAATGTGATTTGAAAACTTCCTCACTGTAAGTTGTGTCTGTTGTATGTAGAACCATTGAAGAAGTCTTTGACAGCTGAGACCAAAGCTTGGAAGAAACTGTTGTGTAAATACCTGAAGGAGAAGTACAAGAAGAAAATGCTGGACACTAGAATACATATGAAAAAATACCTCAAACAACTCTTGCATCCTGTGACTAATCTGGAAGATGTGCGCCGTGCCTATGCAGCCTTGTCGGAGCTTCGGGATTCTGAAATACAAACATATATGACATTGATTTCCATTGAAGTATGAGTCACACCATCAAATGCATTCAGTTATACAGCTTTAGTCTATTGAACCCCAGCAATAGTTATTCTAATCTTCAGGCTTTGTTAGGGATACGAATTATTCCATGATATCTTACTGTTCTCAGAGATCATACTCAATGAAACGCTGGCTTTGTAGCTCTGTGGTGTGTTTAACAGCTAAAGATATCTCAGACCATATACAGAGGTTGTTATTTCCATTAGATTGTAGGTCTTTATGCTCTGTCAAAAGTGTCATTACTGTTTCAGAAATGTTTTTCATCGTCATTTGTAGTTGTTGATAATTAGTAAAACATTATTTTTTATTCATAATTTAGCTCTATAGATGAATGAAATCAGCTGTTCATATCCAACATGTGATCATACTATTTATCACAGGAAGCCTTTGAAATTTTAATTAAATATGAACCAGAGATGACCAAAACGGATGTGGAGGGCGTGTCCAACCTGAGAAATTTCTTCAACGAGCTTTCAGCTAAAGCTGTTAGTATTAATATTATATTTATTGTTGTTGTTATTTTTGCTGTTTTATTACTTCTAATAGTCTTGCTATTATAATTTATAAATGCTGTCCTTTAACCTCACTGTTCTTGGTTCCTGGCTTTCTCAGAGATCATTGCGAGATGAACTTGTCCGTACACAGCCCAAGTTCAAACAAAACCTTCTGGACTCTGTTGGTGATTTCCAAAATGATGTTAGCAATTATATTGAGCAGTATGATTTAGTAAGTACTTAGTTTTTTTTACTCTCACCATATGTTTATCTTGCTGAAACTATTAACAAGTTCTTATGCAGTCCTTCTTTTTCTTTTTTTTAGGAAGGCCCCATGGCTGATGGAATAGCTCCCCAAGAAGCCAGCCGCAGGCTTCAAAGCTTTAAGGTAACATTTAAATGAACTTAAAGGTCATTTTATATTAGTTATTGCTGAATTATGAAAATGTGACATTTCAGTTTGAGGTTAACAATAACCTTAATTAAAGAAAAAAATCTGTATCCATAGAGGAAGTCCTCGTTCCATGAATAAATAAACTTCTAAAAATTATTTTGAAATATAATTTTTTGCAAATGAAAATAGAAAATATATTTTAAAAATGGTTAGATTCTATTTTGTATTTAACACAGACCCTTTTTAAAAATTCCTTCAGGCACATTTTGAAGATCTGTGGAAGAATTTCAGCATCTATAACTCTGGAGAGCAGCTTCTTGGTTTGCCAGTAACAGAGTACGACTGTCTAGACAAGAAAAAGTGAGTTAGCACCAGATTCGACCCTACATTACTAGAACTGTGACTGTTGTCTCAATTCTACATTAATATATTGTTTCGTTTTTTTTTGATTACATCAGAAAAGAGCTTGACCTACTACAGAAACTCTATGGCCTGTATGATGCGGTGATGGGCAATATTGGTGGGTACTACAGCATTCTGTGGGTAAATGTGGATATTGAGAAGATCAACACAGAACTTTTGGAATTTCAAAACAGGTAATCCAGGTATTTTTATGACAATTCTCCTTACACGAAGGTTTGAAATGATTGTTTTGTTTTTTCCTATATCTTGTGAAAAAATGTTAGCACTGTAATTATTTTAAAAGGTGGAGGTTTTTGAATGTGGGAAGTGTTAGAAAACAAAAAAGAAATGTTTGTATTTTGTTCTTACATGTGCATCATATAACACATTTTATTCTAGATGTCGAAAGCTACCTAAAGGTCTGAAGAGCTGGCAAGCCTTCCTTGACCTGAAGACCACCATTGATGACTTTAGTGAGTCATGCCCTCTGCTTGAGATGATGGCGAGCAAATCTATGACGAGGAGACACTGGGACCGGATCACCGACCTGACTGGGCACCATTTTGAGGTGGAGTCCAAGAACTTTACGTTGCAGAACATCATGGAAGCACCTCTGTTGAAGTACAAGGACGACATTGAGGTCTGTTGGCTGTTAGAAACTTTATTCATCCTGCCACATTCTTTTGCTTGTGCTCTGTAATTAATTTTACCCTCCCAAGCTAACCTTTTATATATATTTGCCCTGAAGGACATCTGCATAACAGCTGTGAAGGAGAAGGATATCGAGGCAAAGTTAACACAAGTGAAAGAAGTGTGGTCTGGCCAGATCCTGAGTTTAAATACATTTAAGGATAGAGGAGAACTGTTGCTGAAAGGTGCAGAGACAGCAGAGATCTTCACCATCCTGGAGGATAGTCTGATGGTGCTGGGGTCACTGCTCAGCAACAGGTACGAAAGCGCAAACACTAACATGTAGCGGTACATTTATTTTTAACACCTTGTCCAAAACATTGAGCGCTACTTAAGACCAAGTAACAAAATGGATTGGGGGCATAAAAATAAAGACTGATACTTGAATTGGGTTGTTTTAACAAATATCTTAGAAAGAAAAAAACAATGATCCAGATCATTTATGCTCCATTTATTCAATGCATCCTCAGAAATGATTTCCACACAATGTATGTCTTCAGGATATTACTGTATATCCTTCTCTACCCCTTACAGGTACAGTGCCTACTACAAAGCAGAGATCCAGGATTGGGTGTGCAAACTTTCAACATCATCTGATGTCATTGAACAGTGGATTATTGTGCAAAACCTTTGGCTCTATTTGGAGGCTGTGTTTGTTGGGGGTGACATCGCCAAAGACCTTCCACAGGTATGGCTAAGTAAGAAATAATGTATAGTGAGTTGGTTATCGTGGAATGGAACACTGACAAGGTGAGCAGGACCCTGATGTGAAGCAGAGGGGCCTGTTCTCCTGCAATTACAACCTGTTCACTTTACATTATCCTGCCTGAATACACAACTTCTTGTGAAGGAAATCAATCATTTGAAACAAAATATTGATTTGGAAATGATTTTATTGATTTAAAAGTGTTTTCTTCTTCACCTTAACTAAACACATATGTTGTAATCTACAGTTAGAGGTACATCCATATCACTGGTTAAATCACTAACTGATCCTTACTAAAATTAGCTCAACTTCAGACTGACAAATAAGAAGCTTTCAACTCATGCTTGTGTGAGACAAAGTGAACTCTGCATTAATCAGCACAGTACCTGACTGAGTTTTTCTGAGCCGTCACAGTTAGTCTGAGGACATTTTCTTTGCCATACAGTCCTCCAGAGTCTGTGATAAGAGCCGTGTCTCTAGCAACCTAGTCTGCTTTTCTTAGTAACGGTTTGTTCTTCTTAACAGCCTGCTATTAAGGGATAACAGATTGTTGCTATGTGTAGTTGGACAATCAGAATCAAGCATTTCACACAGTCATGTAATAATGCACTGTTTCTACTTTCAACAAAATTATAATGTTGAACTGTACTATAGTAAAATACCAAAATACTTTTTCTCATTATAGGAAGCCAAGCGTTTTCAAAACATTGACAAGTCCTGGATCACAGTCATGCAGCGAGCCCAGAAAGTCCATAATGTGGTGGAGTGTTGTTCGGGTGACCCAATCATGGGACAGCTGCTGCCAGATCTCCAGAAACAGCTGGAGTTTTGTCAAAAATCTCTTTCAGGGTAAAGCTTTGTCAACAGCTTGGTTTTTGATTTTATTTATAATGATAGTAAGATACACTAGTTGGGCTAAAAACCTTTATCTAAACTCTTCAAGTAGTTTTATCTTGTGATGTTGTCTAACTTGTATAACCAAGGACAACCCTCCTATAAATTGATGGTTTCCCTTTTTTTTTATAAACATAAATGTATGAAAAATGTGAGCAACATGTAAGTGTTGGTGTACTATGACAGCCGCAATGAAAAACAATGACCAATCAGCATTTTATTTAAATGTTTTCAATTTGACTTTCATCACCAAAATCATTTGTATTTATGTGTTTTTTATTGGATGATTTTCTCACTGAAAATGATGTAATATCACTCAATAGGTACCTTGAGAAAAAGAGGCTCCTGTTCCCACGGTTCTTCTTTGTGTCTGATCCATCCCTCTTGGAAATACTTGGACAAGCCAGTGATTCTCACACAATCCAGGTGAGGGCACCCATGGGAACCGTAAAAAAAACGACTTTTAAAAGTGTGACTCAAGAAATGTTCTTACCTATTGGTAACCTGTAACATATACAGTTTATGTGTAGGTGTGAAGTGGATAACACAAAGTCTGGCAACATACGGTAATCATTTAAAATGTGGGGACAAACATGTCCAAAGAATAAAAATAAGAATGTGACCCTGATTACATATACTCTTATTATTACTACTTACTATATACTACTTATTTGTTAGAATTTTTTTTACCAATTATTAATTTTAGACATGCTTTATTTTCAGTCACATCTACTTGGAGTGTTTGACAATGTCAATGAAGTGGAGTTTCATGCAACAGAGTATGACAAGATCCTGTCTGTCCTTTCACAAGAGGGAGAGAAGTTACCGGTATGTAAATGTAATGGCATTTGCAGAGTTAAACTATGCTGTAATCCTGCATGTGCAATATAGAAATGAAATGTGTTTCTTTTAATATGAGGCAATTTGTTGCAGCTGGTCTATAACTAGCTGATTTATTTACATTGTACATTTTTGGGTAGTTGAGTCCACACCATGCATCATATTGCATTTAAATTATGCAATATTTATCACCCGTACTTTGCTGCTTTCATATTCTGATGACAAGTATACAATGATTAAGTAAATGTGTATGTGTGGTTTCAGCTGGACAGTCCTGTAATAGCACAGGGACCAGTGGAGCTTTGGATTGGGGAGCTGTTGTTACAGCAACAGGCTTCTTTACACACTGTGATCAAAGCTTCAGATCTAGAAATCAACGATGAAGACTTTGACCTCCTCTTTTTTCTTGACACATTCCAAGCTCAGGTCAGAAGTAACTTGTGCAGTACTCATAAAATGTTTAATAACTTGACAGTAGTCATGTTTTCTTGGCACTACAATGACTTTAATTGAAATTAGGAAAACACACAACATGTACAGGGTTCACTTGATTAGATTACATTGTTTTTTATACATTGCCTTAGTACAACTCAGACCCAAGTGCAACAACCTGTTCAACCTGTGACCACAGCTCTGTGCAGATTCTTACAGGGAGAAAGAGGTTTTAAACACTCATCACTTGTTTGACCAGAACATGATTAAGCCTTTCCTCAAACTGCTACACACTGAACAATTGATGCTTTTGTCAAACCATCAAGTTATATGGCCTCATGCCTCAAACCAAAGCTAAACAAAAGGCCCTCTTGCTGCTTTCCTAAGTAACTGGGACAGCCAAACAGTTGCTGACAGATTCATTTTATGTGATTTACCGGTACCTTTTTAGTTTATCTTTTAGCACTTACTTTTTTTCAGGTTGGCTTGTTGGGGATCCAAATGCTTTGGACCAGAGATGCAGAGGAGGCACTACAGAATGCTGAAGATGCCAAGGAGATCATGCCTTACACCAAAAAGAAGTTCCTAAATCTACTCACAACCCTAATTAAACAAACGACCCATGATCTGAGCAAGTTTGACCGGGTCAAATATGAGACACTTGTCACAATCCATGTGCACCAAAGTGATATATTTAATGACCTAGTAGGTTTCTTTAAATAAATCTCTCTTCTGTTATGGATCGTTATACTTAGCATATTGGCTAGTTATTGTAATTTTAGTAACATATATTCATATATACATTTGCTTGTTTGTTCTCAGGTAAAAAAGCGTGTAAAATCTATCGGTGACTTTGAATGGCTGAAGCAGAGCCGATTTTACTTCAAGTACGACCTGGATAAGGTCCTTGTGTCTATAACTAATGTCGACTTCATGTATCAAAACGAGTTCTTAGGCTGCACTGACCGTCTGGTCATCACCCCCCTGACTGACAGGCAAGAGATGGGAAATTTTAATTTGTGTTTTAAAATACATTAAATACATTTTTATACAATGTAGGTGGCCTCTTTGAATCACTGTCTTTTTAATCAACAGATGTTATATCACACTGTCCCAGGCTCTGGGCATGAGCATGGGTGGAGCCCCTGCAGGGCCAGCTGGCACTGGGAAAACAGAAACCACTAAAGACATGGGTCGCTGCCTCGGCAAGTATGTGGTTGTGTTCAACTGCTCTGACCAGATGGACTTTAGAGGACTGGGAAGAATCTACAAAGGTACCCCAGACAATTAAATAACTCCTGTAGCATTGTGTTGTAGAGTGTTGGTTGTCTCATGATCTATTCTTTACTCAGGTCTTGCACAGTCAGGGTCTTGGGGCTGCTTTGATGAGTTCAACAGAATCGACCTGCCAGTGCTTTCAGTAGCTGCTCAGCAGATCTACATTGTTCTGATGGCACGCAAGAAACACAAAAGCACTTTCATCTTTACTGATGGAGACTGTGTGAATCTGAATCCAGAGTTTGGCCTGTTTATTACCATGGTAGGATACATGAATGCAAAGGAATCTTTAATCCACAAAAATAAACGTTGAATATTCAGAAGCTAATACATCACAATCCCATGTCTAGAACCCTGGATATGCTGGTCGTCAGGAACTTCCTGAGAATTTAAAAGTGCAGTTCAGAACCGTGTCTATGATGGTACCAGACAGGCAGGTGGGTCAAGTCTACCTTTGGATGCATAATTGCATAACATTTCCTTAAGCTCCAGTCTTACCAAACAGCTTTATTCACTGCTGTGTTTTGCAGATCATCATGAGAGTAAAACTGGCCAGTTGTGGATTCAATGACAATGTCATTTTAGCCCAGAAGTTCTTTGTCCTTTATAAACTGTGTGAAGAACAGCTTACAAAACAGGTGAGAAACTTGTGCCCACACATTATTCATATTTTGAAATGACTTAAAGCCTACTCACATACAACTTATTTTCTATTTCAGGTCCACTATGATTTCGGCTTAAGGAACATCCTCTCTGTGTTGAGAACACTGGGGGCCAGTAAGAGAGCACGGCCTGATGACTCAGAGTCCAGCACTGTCATGAGAGTGCTGCGTGACATGAATCTTTCTAAACTGGTATGACAGGAACTCACTGTGACCACCTAATAATGGTTTTACAGGGAACAAATCCCATGGTTCTGATCAGATCATGGATTTTGATCCCAGATCAGATCGGCTTTTTGGATCCACCAAACAGAAAAATACATTTATAATAGAAATTCTATTCTTCAGCTTGACTTGACTAAAACGGAGCATTTTAATATCATCAATACAGCTTCACTAACGTGAAGCTATACTAAGTGTTGTCATATGCAGCCACCAGCTGTTACCGGCATGATAACAGACAGAGTTAGTTCGAACAGAGAAAAGATAAAGCGCTGTTTGAAATATTCAAACTTTTTTACACAGTGCAAAAGTTAGCAAAAGATGTTTTAAAGACTGTGAATGCAATTAGCTGAGTGGTTAGTGCACCCCATGTACGGAGGCTATAGTCTTCCAGGCAGAATAGTATGATAAACATTAAGAGGGATTTCACTGTGTCTGAAGATACTGTGTATCTAAATCATTCTTTATGTTTCAGGTTGATGAGGATGAGCCACTCTTCAAAAGTTTGATCAATGACCTGTTTCCTGGTATCCAGCTGGATGGTAGCACATATGTTGAACTTCAAGCTGCTGTTGACAATCAAGTTAAGCTTGCCGGCCTTGTCAACCACCCACCATGGAACCTCAAGCTGGTTCAGGTAAAACCCTTTCGTAATTATACTCTCTTCTGTTCAATATCTCTGTTTCGTTTGAAAAATGTGTTATGGCTGTCTTACTGTCATTGTCAGCTTTATGAGACTTCACGAGTACGCCATGGCCTGATGACTTTGGGCCCGAGTGGAGCGGGGAAGACAACGGTCATCAACACTCTGATGAAAGCTATGTCTGAGTGCGTGAGCCCACATAGGGAGATGCGCATGAACCCCAAAGCAATCACTGCACCACAGATGTTTGGTCGTCTTGACGCAGCCACCAACGATTGGACGGATGGGATCTTCTCCACTCTTTGGAGGAGGACACTTAAAGCAAAGAAAGGTTTGTAAAATAGATTGAGAAATATTGAAACTAAAACTTAACTAATATTAAAAATCTCCTTTTCCTGAAAATGTCTTAAAATGTAACAACCAAGAGACATTAATATGCTATATATTATGAATCACTTAAAAGGACAATGACACATTTTGCAGTTATTGGATAGTAATTACACTAAATCGTTCACTCTTTTATGACTGGTGACATTTTCAGGGGAGTTCATATGGATTGTACTGGATGGCCCGGTGGACGCCATATGGATTGAAAACCTCAACTCTGTGTTGGATGATAACAAAACACTGACCCTGGCTAACGGTGACCGCATAACTATGTCTCCATCCTGCAAGCTGGTGTTTGAGGTGCACAACATGGATAATGCTTCTCCTGCTACTGTGTCCCGTGTGGGTATGGTCTTCATGAGCTCCTCAGCTCTCAGCTGGCGACCCATTCTTCAGGTTCAGTTGTTCTGTTAAATCAGCAATTTAAAGAAAGTATGAAGATAAGAATGAATGTTTGTTTTACTGTGAAGTGCTTAACATGAATATCAATTTAATGCCGTAGGGATGGGCTAACAAGCGCAGTGCTGAAGAGGCAGAAAGCATAGTAAGTTTATATATGAAGATCTTTGAGGATGCTTACTTACACATGAAGCGGAACCTTAAACCAAAAATGGATCTCTTGGAGTGCAACTATATAATGCAGGTATGTTTTGTGAAAACTAATAAAGACAAACAATGATTAGATGATATCTTGTTGTATAATAAGAGTGAATTATTTGAGTACTTTCCCCCCTCAGTCTGTGAATTTGCTGGAGGGCCTGCTCCCAACTAAGGACAAAGGGGGTTTGACTGGTAGCAAACACCTTGAACGCCTTTTTGTCTTTTGCCTGATGTGGAGCCTGGGAGCCCTGTTGGAGTTAGAGGATAGGGACAAACTGGAGGCTTACATCCGAGCTCATGAAAACAAAATTGATGTGCCTCAAACACAGCCAGGAGAGACTATGTTTGAGTACATGGTCAACCGAAACGGTACAGACGTTTTATACTTAAAAACCCCTCCTTTTCCCTTTTTAAGTAATTGTTTTATGTCTGGTTAATGTGTGTGTGTGTGTGTGTGTGTGTGTGTGTGTGTGTGTGTGTGTGTGTGTGTGTGTGTGTGTGTATATATATATATGGCCTCTGTTTTAGGTGAATGGTGTCATTGGAATAACCTGGTGGGGGAGTATGCCTATCCAACTGACCATGTGCCCGACTACACCTCCATTCTTGTGCCAAATGTGGATAACACAAGGACCTCTTTCCTGCTGGAGACTATAGCCAAACAACGCAAGGTGAACATTATGTATCTTTTAAAGTACAACAGTAGTTTTCATCTTTACTTTCGTGGGTTGAAGGTATTCTGTGAATGATGAAAACTGTGTGTGTGTTTATAGGCTGTACTGCTTATTGGTGAACAAGGAACAGCCAAGACAGTAATGATAAAAGGCTACACCAAGAAATATGACCTTGAGACAGACCTGTTCAAATCCCTGAACTTCTCCTCTGCAACAGAACCCATTATGTTTCAGGTAGTCTATTTATTATGATCTGCATCCGTGACTTTTCAGGGTTCAGAACTTTTGAGTGGAAATCCTTTTATTCCCTTTACAGAGAACAGTGGAAAGCTACATTGAGAAAAGAATTGGCAGCACATATGGACCTCCAGGAGGACGCAGGATGACGATATTTGTAGATGACATAAACATGCCTATTGTCAACGAATGGGGAGATCAGGTGTTTATACAGGAGGTTTTCATACATAATGAATATATGTGTGTGAGTGTGTGCCTTGCGCGTGTAGAGAGAGTGGATATTTCATGTTACTGCTATATGGGACTGTCCAATCAGATCACCAATGAGATTGTACGGCAGATGATGGAAATGACTGGAATGTACAATCTGGACAAGCCCGGAGACTTCATCACTGTAGAAGATGTACAGGTACTTGCTGCCATGATTCACCCAGGTGGTGGGAGAAATGACATCCCACAAAGGCTGAAAAGACAGTTTACAGTCTTCAACTGCACTCTGCCGTCCAACACATCCATCGATAAGATATTTGGTAGCTATCTCTAAAGTAAATGATCATTTTTCTGCTTACCTTTTTTGGTATAAAAACACTTCATGCTTTGTGCTCTCTCTGTCTGCAGGTGTAATTGGCTGCGGATATTTCCATTCCTGCAGGGATTTTCCCCCTGATATATCAGATATGATAAAATGTCTTGTGTCTACTGGGAGGATTTTATGGCAGCGGACAAAGGTTATTATTAAATATTATGTGAAATTGTTTATAGATACAGATTTGACTGATCAAGACTTGACCTGTCGTGATAATTGTACATTAAAGGTGAAAATGCTCCCCACACCATGCAAGTTCCATTACATCTTCAATTTGAGAGACTTGTCCAGGATCTGGCAAGGAATGTTAAACATTAAGGCCAGTGAGTGTAGAGATACCTCTACTCTCTTGGCTCTTTTCAAGTGTGAAAGTACAAGGGTGATTGCTGACAGGTACTGTGCTTGGTTACTATAATTTATCTTTTAAGCATATAAAAATATTGCAACAAGGCTCACAGTTTTTTTTTCTTAAGGTTCATTTGCACTGAGGACAGAGAGTGGTTTGAGAAGGCCATTACTAGTGTGTTCCAAGAGCATGTTGACACCAGTCAAGAGGTGCACCCAGAGCCATACTTTGTTGACTTCCTACAAGATGCTCCTGAGCCCACTGGAGAAGAAGAAGATGATGCCTGTTTTGATGCCCCCAAAATTTATGAAATTGTATGAAGTTGTTGTTAGGTTATTGGAAGATATTTGTATTGATGCTGCAAAATCTGTCAGCATCATCTCATAAAATCATCACTCTCCTAGGTGCCAAGTTTTGAGTTCTTATTGGAGAAGCTAGTGATGTATCAGGCCCAGCACAATGAAGTTGTTAGAGGCTCCAGCCTGGATCTGGTTTTCTTTAAGGATGCCATGACTCATCTCGTCAAGGTAAATCTAAAAGCCAATCCAACTGAAACCCATCCTCTAAAGTAAGCTAAAGATGTTCTGATGTATTTGAGATTTCCCTGCCTATAGATCTCACGAGTCATTCGAACTGATAACGGTAATGCCCTGCTCGTGGGGGTGGGAGGATCAGGAAAACAAAGCTTGACTCGCTTGGCATCGTACATAGCTGGATACAACATTTTCCAGATAACACTGACCAGGTAAAAACTGGAATACTTTTTTTTTTTTAAAGAAAAATGCCCCCAGTATCAACCAACTTGAGGTAAAAGGCCATGCAGTAAAGTGATCGTGAGAAAAATGTTAAAAAAAACCCAACCCATCTGCAGTTTGTAAAATGGATGTGTATATTTTTACCTAGCATTTAATTGTAAGATAAAAAATAGACTGAGCGTTCCTTTTTTTTCATCTAGATAAATAACAATACTATTAAATGATATTACCACTTTAATTCCACTAATGTAACAGCCTATTGACATATCATCCAATCCCCTTTGACTTCACTGTTCAGAATAAATAGTAAGATTTGATTCTGTGAGAACCTGATGTTAATTTTGACTGGATCCCTTTGTCACCATTAATGCTGTGATCAAATTGTTTTGGATATTTAAGTTATAATTAATCTTATATTTCATATTCTTATATACTTATACATACATTGCTGGTTTGTTAAAAAAGCAATGAAAGAGGTACTCCATGAATGCTTGGTTTTCAACACTGCTTTGTTTTCTCTTTAGAACATACAACATAACTAATTTCATGGATGACCTAAAGGTTTTGTACAAGACAGCTGGGGCCGATGGAATAGGAGTCACCTTCATCTTTACAGATAATGAAATAAAAGATGAGGCCTTCCTGGAATATCTCAACAATGTTCTTTCTTCTGGAGAGGTGGGGACATCAATTGACTTCAAGAGTAAACATTTGATGTCTTTGATGCAACATTCTTAAAAAGCTAGCTGAGTTTTCTTTAAGACTATATGTCAATGAACTGTGTGCAGGTCTCAAACCTGTTTGCCAAAGATGAGATACAAGAGATCACCCAGAACCTGATCTCTGTGATGAAAAAGGAGTTTCCTCGTATTCCACCTACTTTTGACAATCTTTATGACTACTTCATATCCAGATCCAGGAAGAACTTGCATGTAGTTCTTTGCTTCTCACCAGTAGGTTTAAACTTTGTTTATTAATTTGCCAAAACAATCACTACAAGGTTATTTGTGTGCTCTAAATATCATTCAGTGTTAGTTGGGTTTCATTCATGCCTGTAAGAGATCATGCTCTCTCGGATGACATTCTTCTCTTTTTGACAGGTGGGGCAGAAGTTTCGATCTAGATCCCTGAAGTTTCCAGGTTTAATTTCTGGGTGCACAATGGACTGGTTCACTCCTTGGCCAAGTGAGGCCCTCGTGGCTGTATCAAACAATTTCTTGTCAGATTTTCCAATGGTGTGTTCTGCTGATGTGAAAGTTTCTGTTGTGACGACCATGGGGGCATATCATGAAAAAGTATCTGATGCCTGTGAAAGCTACTTTGAAAGGTATACCATACAAATCTGGCCAAGGCTCACTCTGTCACATTGTAAATGCTCGATTCTTATATTTCCTACATTTTTTTCCCCCTGACTTTTCTTAAATGACATTAATGTGCAATGTTTTATTCTACAGGTTCCGAAGAAGAACTCATGTCACCCCAAAGTCCTACCTCTCTTTTGTAAATGGTTACAAAACACTCTACTCTGATAAGCACAACTTTATTAACACACTAGCAGAGCGCATGAAAGTTGGTAAGCAAATTATCAGTAAGGCTAACATAAACAGTAAGTATTATATATTGTATGTAATATGTGGACAACTTCTCAATTACTGATTTCCAGGGTTGTCCAAACTTATGGAGGCAAGTGAGTCTGTGGCTCAACTATCCAAAGATCTTGAAGTCAAGGAAAAAGAACTGGCTATTGCATCTGCCAAAGCTGACAAGGTAAAAATAAATACAGACTGCCGCTGCTCATGCATAGATAATTGATGGATGGATAAATGAAGGGGTAGCTGTAATTGTTTTTTTTTTTTTAATTAATTTTCTCAAATTATAATTTACAAAAGTGTGTAAAATGTGATTCATTGTGTTTATTTTGGAAAATACTTGTTTCCTTCTCAAAGGTGGTGGCAGAGGTGACAGTGATTGCTGAAGCAGCTACTATAGTAAAGAATGAAGTCCAGATTGTGAAGGATAAAGCCCAGAAAATTGTGGATGGAATTGAGAAAGAAAAAGCTTTTGCAGCGGAAAAACTGGAGGCTGCAAAGCCAGCTTTAGAGGAGGCTGAATCTGCTCTTAATGTGAGATTTGTGTCACTTCTTTTTCAACAACATATTTGCACCATGCATAGCAAACTACCCGATGTTCTGCTATATATACTGAACATAAATGATCATTTCTATTTACTGGACATTTTGCAGACTATCAAGCCTGCTGACATTTCCACTGTGAAAAAATTGGCCAAACCTCCACATCTGATCATGAGAATTATGGATTGCTGCCTGCTTTTATTTCAAAGGAAGATGGACACTGTCACTATGGATCCAGAACGACCTTGTGTTAAGCCTTCATGGGGAGATGCACAGAAGGTAAAAAAGGTTTTGGATATCCCTCCAGATACTCACAACCGTCCCATTCTAAGAGTACCAGTATTTGTATTCTGTAGAGTTGATGACAATTTTTAGCATTCTGAAGTAATGGCTAATGAAGATGTGGCTCTCATGTGTTAACTCTCATTTTTTCTCTTAAGCTTTTTGGTTCTGCCGGTTTCTTGCTGTCCCTCCAGCAATTCCCAAAAGATAAAATTAACGAGGAAATAGTAGAACTGCTGAATCCTTATTTTGGAATGGAAGATTACACGATGGAAAACGCCAAGAAAGTGTGTGGTAACGTGGCTGGTTTGCTGCAATGGACCAAGGCCATGGCCACATTCTTTGGGATCAATAAAGAAGTTCTACCACTTATGGTAAAGTCAATCTTTGGCTTTGATGCTTATATTTTGTGCAATACATATAGCATAGTTGAATATTAGATTAAATATTATAGACTTAAAGCCTATTTTTGAAGTAAAATTAATGATTACGGTATTCCTTTTGATCACAATCCATTTTTTAAATTTATATGCATTATAAAATGTGACTGCACTGCAGACCAAACTCTATGAAAATAATTAAAATACTGCTTAAATTGTGCTGCCTGCTGTACCTGTTGTGGTTTTGTGATCTTTGGTGTCACTTGTATGTGCACAGGCTAACCTGGCCATTCAGGAAAGTCGGTCAAAAGTGGCAAGTAATGAGCTTGCCAAGGCAGAGGCCCTGCTGGATGAAAAGCAAGCTGAGTTTGACAAAGTAAAGGCCAAATGTGATGCTGCCATGAAGGAGAAACAAGTGGGTTTAAATATGAAAACTTTTTTATTTAAAACAAGCTTCTTTTAATCTAAAAATGTAATTTTGTACCGTGTAAAATGCCATGTTTACAGGACTTGCTTGACGATGCTCAAATGTGTAAAAACAAAATGCAGGCTGCATCTGCACTTATTGATGGACTTAGTGGAGAAAAGGTTCGCTGGACAGAGCAAAGCAAAGAGTTTAAGTCACAGATCAACAGGTGGGTTTTAAGAAATATGTTCAAAGAGAAGCATAAAACATGGGGCATATTTACAGTTATTATTATTATTACCACTACAACTATGACATGACTGTGCTGCAAGTAATACTATTCATAACAATAGTCATAATTACAACAATAATGGGGCTCTCTGTTATGGTGGACATTTGCTTGTTTTTGATCGTGTACCGTAAGTGTCCATAAGTTTATTCTGGCTTTCATTGCAGACTTGTTGGTGATGTTCTCCAGCTCACTGGCTTCCTATCTTACTGTGGGCCATTCAACCAGAACTTCCGCGACATGTTATTAAAGGACATTTGGAAGGCGGAGCTTGTTAAACATAAAATCCCTTTTACAGGAGACCTCAACCTCATTTCAGCCCTAGTAGATCCTCCCACTGTAAGAACAACACTAACATGGTTCAAATTTAACCTCACTGCTTGCTGCTCAGAAGTTATTATTGAGATAATCCAATATACATATACTCATGTTCATGTTTAAGGTAAGTGAGTGGAACCTTCAAGGACTCCCAGGAGATGACTTGTCTGTACAGAACGGCATCATTGTCACAAAAGCAACAAGATACCCCCTCCTCATCGATCCCCAGACTCAGGGAAAAGCTTGGATTAAGGAGAAAGAAAAGGCTAATGCATTCCAAGTACATAGTGAAATGCATCATAGATTTTCCACTATTTATTTATATAAATCAAACATGTAATTGGAGATATCTGTAATTTATCTTTCAGGTGACATCACTCAACCACAAGTTCTTTCGCTCTCATTTGGAAGACTGTCTTTCTATGGGACGCCCACTTCTTATTGAAAATGTTGCTGAAGAGCTGGACCCCGCCCTTGACAATGTCCTTGAGAAAAACTTTATTAAATCTGGGACCAGTTTTAAGGTAGTCTGCTGTAATACCGACTCAATTAAAAATAAACTGCTTTAAAAATGCCCTTTATGAAATTCTTGGATTTTTCTTTCCTAGGTTAAAGTTGGGGACAAAGAAGTTAATGTGATGGATGGCTTCCAGCTCTATATAACCACCAAACTGCCTAATCCTGCGTACTCTCCAGAAGTCAGTGCCAAGACATCAATTATTGATTTCACTGTAAACATGAAGGGCCTGGAGAACCAGCTACTTAATCGTGTCATCCTTAAAGAGAAACATGTACGTATGTTTGAATGTTTTTTTTACAACCCCCCCCCCCCACACACATACACACACACACACACTGATTCTTTCAATAGCAGTCAATAATTTTGCACAAGAGAAGTTAAACTGGCACACTTAAAGCCCGTGACCTTGTTGTGTTCAGTTGTGTTCAACATTATGACCAACTGTGTTCTGATATATTAGCCTTTTTAGTTTTTAGACACTAAAATGTGTTGTGCCTTTAGCAGCATGTGAACTTTTGTTTCGCACTATATCCTGTTTATTTCAAATCATCTGACAGGAACTAGAGGCAGAAAGATTGAATCTCATTGAGGATGTAACTGCAAATAAGAGAAAGATGCAGGAGTTGGAAGACAACTTGCTGTACAAACTTAGCAGCACAAAAGGTACACCAGTTCCTTGAATGGATTGTTTCCAGTTCCCTCGCAGCTGTATACTTGTAATAATAAGTAAGTGTGTCTGTTTATTTGATATAAGGTTCCTTGGTTGATGACGACTCCATGATCAGCATTCTAAGTGTAACCAAGCAAACCGCTGCTGAAGTTAGTGCCAAGCTTGAGATTGCAGCAGAAGCAGAGTTAAAGATCAATATTGCTCAAGCTGAATATCGTCCTGTTGCCTCTCGAGGCAGCATCCTTTACTTCCTGATCACAGAAATGAGCCTGGTCAATGTCATGTACCAGACCTCTCTGGGTCAGTTCCTGAAAATGTTTGACATCTCACTAGAAAGGTACAGTACCACATACATGGTTTCAGAAAAATGTTTGAATAACCTTTGGGTTTTTTTTAGGATGAAGTATTAGGTTATAACAGCTGTTGTACTAGAGACATCACATTTCTTACAGATGCTGTTATATATACCATGGTGTATGAATGTTGAAGAAAATTCAATGGTAGATGTAACCTCACTATATATAGCTATCTTACTTTCCTTTTTTATATCGGTACACCTTGTTGCACACTCTTTGTCTCAGTCTCCTCTCTGTTGTCTCTTCTCATGAGTTTGCTTTTGCAGGTCTGAGAAGTCCATTAAAACCAAGAAGCGGATTGCAAACATCATTGAATATCTGACCTTTGAAGTGTTCAGATACACCTTGAGAGGACTATACGAAAACCACAAGTTCATCTTCACGCTCTTGCTTGCCCTAAAGATTGACTTACAGAATAACAAAATAGAGCATAACAAATTTCAGATTCTTATGAAAGGTAAGATAAACAGCGCTGCCTAAAAATGTAATGCACCTTTCTGTTGTGGCATCTTTTCAAAATATGAAAACTTCTTTGAATATACCAACAGGTGGCGCAGCGCTTGACCTGAAGACCTGTCCCTCCAAGCCATTCAGCTGGATTCTGGATATGGTATGGTTAAATTTGGTGGAACTCAGCAAATTGCCAGAGTTCATAAACGTCATAAACCAGGTGAGCATAAATTCCAAGGATCAAAAATCACAATCATCCTGAAAAGTGTGCAGAAAAAGTTTTTGCTAATTAGAGACTTTTCAGGTTTCTCAAAATGGGAAAGCATGGAAAGCATGGGTTAATCTGGATGCTCCAGAGGAAGGCGTCATCCCCGATGGATACAACTCTCTAGATGTGTTTGAAAAACTTTTGCTTATAAGGTTGGTCCTGCTGCAAGTCACATGTTATTGTTTATATATTGACTCGGGTTGGGACAACTATGCACATGCTGGCCGCAAATATTTAGTGAAAGAAATAAAGCACTCTAGACAGATTTCTCTGCGAGTTTGACGCATGTCAGTACTTAATGACTTTGTGCAGTGTTGCTTTACACTTGAATGAGGGTTACATGAACAGAATTTAATTGGCCAAAGACAAATTTGATTGTGGAATTAGAGTAGAAGAAGACAGCGGAGTAAAGCGGAACAGTGGTGAAAGAGAGATGTGCTTGCTCTTTGATGAGAGAAAAGGTGGAGGGTGAACCCGTGCAAACATAGAGAGTTGTACTCAGCTGTGATGAGTGGCATTTATCGGACACGGGAGTCCTACATGACAGTCACGTCACATTATATTGATAATGAGATGGGAATACTTTGCTACATGCTACAAGTGGTGGTTCTGAAAGAGACCCACCCTGGTGCTCAAATGTCAAGAGTTTTTAAGGCTACAGAGGAATGAAAGCAGAATAGAAACAACTCATTGTTCTGCCGAGTTGTTTTGCTTTGTCGAAAAAATGCACATGTAGCACTAAAGGATGGCAGAAGCTATCAATGTTCCCCATCATATAATGCTTCCAGTATAGAATCACTTCATCATACACCACTGCATAGTCCATTTGCACTGTAAGAAAAGGGGAAGTATCCTTTCATAATTTATTACCAAACTTTTAAGGTTTTCAGGGAAATGTTATTAAATTATAGGTGAATGAATGTATTGGCATAATGACATGCACACAGGATTGTGGCTTTGCACATGCACATACCTGTGAAGAGCTGCTTAGTAACACATCTCAATGGGAAGCACTTTTCGATGTATTTGATGGATTTACAGGTTTACAGGTTTACAAACTATGTAGCTGGTTATGTCTGTCAAATACTAAAATTTGTATTTAATTGATCTTTTTTAAAGAACTTTGTTTGTTTTTACACAAATATGTGTATACAGATCTATAGTTAATTTATAGACTCAAAATATTAGCACTGTTCCATGTCAGTTTTTGTCAAATTCTGTGAAACTGATTTTTGTGGGCCATGTATCGCGTATCATAGAATAGAATAGAATAGAATAGAATAAGCTTTATTGGCCATGTATGCTTACACACGGAATTTGTCTTCAGTAACTGTGCTCTCAATGTACAAAGTTAAACATTAAACATAATATAAGCAAAAAAAAAACGACTAATATATACAAGGCTAAATAAGACAATAGTGCAGTGGTGAGTAGTGCAAAAAAAGGCTGAGATGAACATGATAATAAATATGTAGTTATGTAACAGATGGTTAATATGAGGTAGAGTTTTTACAGTGTTTACACATGCAGTGTGCATAGATTGGTGAGAGGATAATATTTCAGTATATACATGATTAAGTTATTGAAAAATAAAAATAGTTATAATAGTTATAATAGTTACAATAGTCTTACCATAATGTGAGCTTCCTTGCAATGCCCACCCTTAATACTGACAATGATACAATATTTTCTCTTCAGGTCTTGGTGCCCTGATCGTACTTTGGCTCAGGCCACAAAATATGTAGGATACTCCTTGGGATTGAGGTTTGCTGAGCCGGTGCTCTTGAACCTTCACAGCACATGGGAGGAGAGTGATCCTCGCACTCCTCTGATTTGCTTCCTTTCTATGGGCTCAGATCCAACTGAACAAATTGAAGCACTTGCTAAGAAACTTGTGCTTGGTGAGCTTCACTGTCCAATTAAACATTTATAATCTACTCATGAACAATCATTCATGTGCTGTTTTCTTGAGCTTACTACATGGTTTGTCTTATAGAATGCAGAGCTATATCCATGGGGCAAGGGCAAGAGGTGCATGCAAGGAAACTGGTTCAGACGTCCATGACAGAGGTGTGTGTATTTAATTTAATGTAGTTTCATGTTGAGGAAATGAGTACTTCCAATGATGGTTGATCTTGGCGCCTTGTGAATGCTCTCTGTATCGGATAATGTCTAGGGAGGCTGGGTCCTTCTGCAAAATTGTCACCTGGGTTTGGAGTTTATGGATGAGTTGCTAGACACCATCACAACTACAGAATCAATGCACAATGCTTTTAGGGTGTGGATCACCACAGAACCACACGATCGATTCTCCATCACGCTCCTACAGGTAATTTTATGTAACATGATTTTAATTATCACTAAGTGTATACCACCATTTCCTGTCCTAAGTTTTACAAATACTCTTACTTACGGTACTGACATTCTGTAAACGTTTAAGCTGGAACAATTGTCTTTGATCTCTTTACCTGTAGTCTTCTATCAAGTTTACCAACGATCCACCCCAGGGAATTCGGGCTGGCCTTAAACGAACGTTTGCAGCAATATCACAGAACCAATTGGAAGTCAGTAACCTCCCTATGTGGAAGCCTTTGCTGTACAGTGTGGCTTTCCTCCACACTGCTGTGCAGGTATTGTCTATTTTTAATTCACTGATGAGGTCAAATAGTGTTTTAGTGAAGCCTATGAAGACGTACAAACAAGGGAATTGTGGGCAAGATGAATATTTAAACCAACTAAAAATGCTATTCACCATTGCACACATTAAAACAAACAACATGAATATTAGACTTTCTGGGAAGCTATATGACATACATTGAGTTGAAAGTGCGTACATTTTAGTCACATCAAATGTTGTCTACTTTTGGTTACTTGTATATTAAGTGGTCTAAAAAATGTGTTTATGTACTTCTTCAGTCAGTGATGCTTAAAAAGGGCAAAGAGTGCAGCAATACCTTATTTAAATAACATGATCCTTTTTTTTTTTTAGGAGCGACGTAAATTTGGACCATTGGGTTGGAACATCCCATATGAGTTCAACTCTGCTGACTTCACCGCAAGTGTTGAATTTGTTGAGAGACATTTGGATGATTGCGGCCCAAGAAAGGTGGTTATCAGCAAAAGCAGTTCAATTATTCAGCTAAGGGACTTGTTATTCTTAGTCTATTCCTCACTTTTTGTTTTGCTGTTCTTTCCTCTCAGGATGTGTCATGGGTCACTGTGCGATACATGCTAGCCGAGGTGCAATATGGAGGAAGGGTTACAGATGACTATGACAAACGGCTGCTCAAGTGTTTTGCACGCGTAAGGCTCTGATGTTTGTGTTCATTTATGTATTATATCTCTTTGATCAATAGCTGTTTTTAATATGTACCAAACTTGAAAGTGCTTGTTCTTTATTGCAGGTGTGGTTCAGTAAAAAGATGTTTGACAATCTGTTTTGCTTCTACACTGGCTATAAAATTCCAGTGTGCAAAACAGTAGAGAAGTACATGGAATACATTGAGAGCCTGCCCACTGCTGATTCCCCTCAAGCATTGGGGCTGCATCCTAATGCGGATATCACGTGAGGAGATGTTATCCTAAAACTACCAATCAACAAGATTATCTACTTGAACTGTGTCGAATGTGTTTCATGTTATTATTATTACTGTGCTGTTTTCAACATCAAATAGGTATCAGACAAACACATCTGCTGAAGTGCTAGAAACAGTCACAAATATCCAGCCAAAGGAAAGTGGAGGTGGATCAGGAGCGACTCGTGAGTCAATTGTTTACGACTTGGCTGAAGACATGTTGGAGAAACTGCCCCCTAATTATGTGCCACATGAGGTCAGTTTGTTAATTAATAAGGGTATTATGCACCTATACTTGGAACAAATGATCTAACCTTGTAACTTTTATGGGTTTAGGTCAAAGCCAGACTGGAGAAGATGGGAGCGCTGAACTCAATGAACATCTTCTTACGTCAGGAGGTGGATAGAATGCAAAGAATCATCAGTCTGCTGCGCACTAGTTTGACTGACCTGAAGCTGGCCATTGATGGAACTATTATAATGAGCGAGGTGAGATTATTTCTTCATTCTGTAACTCACTCTAAAACTCTAACCCTTTACTGTTTATTAAACATGATCCTCATGAGAGTTTCACATGCTATGAAATGAATAATCTGTATTTTATCTCTAGAACCTCCGTGATGCCCTTGACAATATTTTTGATGCTCGTGTGCCAAACTTGTGGAGGAAAATCTCCTGGGAATCATCTACACTGGGCTTTTGGTACACTGAGCTTATTGAGAGAAACAAACAGTTCAACTGTTGGGTGTTTAAAGGAAGGCCAAAAACATTCTGGATGACAGGATTCTTCAACCCTCAAGGTGAGAGAGAGCTTTTTCAAGAGCAGTGACACCCCTGAACAGAAAAGACACTGGACTGATTGTATGTGTACTCATATAATTTATAGTATGAGGTCTAAGACCAAAAAAAAGAATAAATGAATCCTGAGAGATTCAACCTGATTGATTAAGCCATGTTGTTTGTTGGTGGTAAAATGTACTGAAAGAAACCCCCTGAAACTGCGTCTGCTGTTAAATTGACAAAGGTTATATGTACGGGGAATTTTTTTTACAGGTTTTCTTACCGCTATGAGACAAGAAGTAACAAGGGCAAACAAAGGCTGGGCTCTGGACACAGTCACCTTGACCAACAATGTACTAAAGCAAGCAAAGGAGGAGATCACAGCCTCACCCACAGTAAGTAGAAAGGCATGAAAATAATAGCATAATGCCCACTAATTATGGCCAGTGCAACAAATAGTCTAATTTTTATACAACAAAAAAAATATATCTATTTAAAGAACAGTGCTTTTCTCTGCCACTGACTGCTTTTCTTCAACAGGAGGGAGTTTATGTGTACGGTCTGTACCTGGATGGTGCTGGCTGGGACAGGAAGAACACCACACTGATTGAGTCCTCACCCAAAGTGCTTTTCACACCTTTGCCTGTCATCCACATGTTTGCTGTTAACTCCACTGCCCCACCGGATCCCAAGCTTTATGTCTGCCCTATCTACAAGAAACCAAGGCGCACAGACCTGAATTACATCACAGCAGTAGTGTTGCCTACAGTCCAGTCACCAGACCACTGGATCATGCGCGGGGTTGCCTTGCTTTGTGATGTCAAATAAAATATTGATGCCTGTCCATAATAATATGTCATATTGCTTAAAAAGTCTCAGAAGGTATACTTCAAAAGTGTCTGCAATCAGTATATTGACAAAGTTAGGACTTTCCCCGTCTTAAAACCAATAAGCAATCATCTAACAACATGCTTTTCAGAATGATGGCCAACTTTTCTGAAATTCTAATGTAGCAAACGGCTAGTGTTAATCGACTTCTTTCTCCGTGCCCTGCATTGTTTACATTTTATTGTTTTGGGTCATTATATCCTCGGAGGAGCACCTTGTCATCTTTCTCTGGTATGTGTGTTTAACAACTCTTAAAAGGTTTTTGTTTCTTGCCACTGTAACTGATGAAATGATGCTTAGTTAGTTAGTTAGTGGTCATGATGGATTACTGTTTGGTCTTTCTAGATAATTATATAATGACGAGTAAGGTCTTTTACCTGCTTTTTGCAAAGTGTCTTGAGATAACATTTGTTTTGAATTGGCGCTATATATTGCTAAGTCTGTCCTTAAGAGGAAAAGAAAACCTATTTTAATACCCTTGTTTACTGATTGGAGGTAGGATTGATCATTGCTGACCGTTCTAACAAGGGGGAAATCTAAAAACTGATGGATTTTGCAAAGGAAAATCTAGCAGATTGTTCTCTCTCAAGTAGAAATTTTTGATCCAGAACAAATTGTTACCTGCAATTGCATGAAGCTATCTGGTAATACAAATATATAAATCATTGTCAGATTAGAGAAAAACAGGATTTAAAACGAAGGAACCTGGACCACAGTGCAGGTTTTAGAAATCATGCAACAAGTGACTACTTCATATCTTTTTTTTTTTATTCAGTATGAAGCTGCTGTAGGCCTTCAAACTATGTGGATGGTTCAGATGTATCTGTGGCCCGCACATCCTATCAGACTTGGCTTGTGTGATGGAAGAAATTAAGTTTCTCCTATTTGTTCTTGCTGCTTTTTGTGAAATGAATGAGCTGTTGATGCTGAGTTAGCGTGAATAGTATTATCTAAAATCTAATCATATTTAACAAGTATTACTGCACAGTTATTAAATGATGTTGAGCAAATCAATTACTTCTTCAAACTCAGCAACACATGAGGGAGGAGTGCTGTTTGAGTGACATATCCTTTCTCTAAAAGTGAACACTTGGGCAAAGATAAGCAACTGGCGCCAGCCATCAACCCCCCACCCCCACCCTCTGAGTGATTCCCAATTATGTCAAGAAGGAAAAATGGTGTCCACTTGAAAAGTTTTCTTAATCAAACCCAATTATTTCCGCTGTTTTCCCTTATTATTCCCACCATGGACCATGTCCTGCTAGTCAGCCTGTTAACTAGAGCCTGAGCCCCAGCGAAGGTCAAACTTGGAAAAGTAATTACATGTTCTGAGTGTCTTTACTACAAATTATGGGTGGTGTTACATCATATATTTCTAAGAATTGTGTGGTGAGAGAGGGTTATAACTAAATATAGAAATTCTAACTCTATTCATCTTTATGTAATGCCAAAGTGCTCAGGCATAAAAATGTAATGAGTATTTAACAGTTGTTTTACCTGCAAAACTAACTGGTAGGAACTTGAAGCAGGGAAGTAGGAAAAATAACTTGTAGGTTTATTATGTCCTATCCAGGATTAGAATTATTTAAATTATTTTCAATTAAACCAAAGTCCTTTGCACTTGTTATTCTTAGTGTGATGAGAATCTTTGCATAACTGTCTGAGTATCTTACAATGTCCTACTCCAACTTCATAATCTTTTTTTTTACTATAAATGGAAGCTATGACGCTTCTGATAAATGCATCTGATTGATTTCAACATGAACAGGAAGTTAACTGTGTCACAGAGAAGCATTGAGTTTAAATTGCCTTGCCTCCTTATTGTTACAAAGTAGTCAGATGCAAAATAGACCTGAATACAATCCTCTATCCAAAAATAAATTGAAGCAGCTAAGCCACACAGGCCAAAGGAGGGCAATTAGAGCTTGAGCCCTTGTGGCCTCTGCAGCCCTAGCAGGCGGGGCCTCCTGACACCCCTGGTTGGGCCTGATGGAGTGGAGCTTTATCTGCCTAACGGCCTGGCAAAGCGCCACAAGCCTGGATGAACACAACAGGCCTCCATCAGGCCAGCTCGCTCTGTCAGAGCCTACATGGCCTATTGTACACCAGCGCTCATTAACGTCACTAAGCCATGTTGGTGAATCACTAATGCATGTGTAGAAACAAAAACAAGGTACGCAATCAAAGTGCTTCTTTGTGGTTCTACAGTAACTTTATTCTGTGTTATGCAAAATGAAAATGAAAGTCACATTCCAAAACTTCTAATATAAATGGAAAAAAAAAACCATAAACATCCATTGAAATGTATCAAATTTTCTTCTAGAAATAAGAAATGTTCCTTTGTATTTCTTTGGCTTTAGTCCACTGTTGTCAAAAGGGATTTTATTATTCTAACCAACAGAACCTGTAAAACTGGCAGAGTGCTGCAAATGCCGTCATTTCTAAAGGCCATGATTTCATATTTTGAAGTGCTATAAAATGATGATTCCATATTAAACTTACTTACTAAAGTGTCCACATAGGACTTCAGTTGCCAGATTAATTTTCCTCAATCCATTGTCATAGTCCTAGGTGTCATCAAAGGTTAGTATTGATACCACTAACCTAAAGTTATAATGATTAACAAGTACTTTTCTTGACATAGGAGAAAGCCAAGGATTCCCTTGAATTGTTTTGAATGTGTTTTTGACACACTTGACTCAGAAAGACAATGATAATTAGGCAAATGCATTTGCTAGCCTAGCACTCTTTGATGCACAAAAATAAACAAATACAGTAAAAAAAAAACACAGAATCCGCATCAATATGACCTATACCGGTAAGTGTGAGCCAAACACCATGTCCTCCTTCCAAGAGGAAAGAGAGACTGCCAGCTTCCATTAACCTACTCACTGTAAATCCAACTGCCTTTGTCAACAGTGAGTGATTGCATCTTTTGCCAATAAGGATGAACATTAAGGTGGTGAATTATAAAAAATAACAGTGATATGTTGTGCAGTTAATAAAAAAATGATACAAATGACAAGGTTTGTGGGGAGGGGCAAATATAATCAGGTCTTGCAAAGGTTTTTTCAGGGAAATCTGATGGCATTCTGTCTGTAGTTGAGAATCCAGGGTTAATCGCTTTAAAAGCAGTAATTAGGTGTTAAGAGGCGTGCTTGTCTGTTTGAATTAGCCTCTGAGCTAGATTAGATTCTGTGACTTCCGATCAACTCCCCCATCAGTGCTAAATGCTCTCCAAGAGGCCCGTTTTATTATTCAAAAAAACAAAGTACTTCAATTATTCAAGCATAGTGGTTTAAAAAACACACTTGTACCAAATTTGCAAAAAGAAAGTTAACTTATTAAAAAAACTCTGGGCAGCATTTTACACAGTCCAGAAAAAAGATGGATAGAAAAAGAGGGACAACCTATCCAAACAGACGGTAGAAAAACCTCTTTCTTTTTTAAAGAAATTCCACTGCAAAGATTCCCAAAGAATGATTTACATTTGACATGTAAAAGAAGCAGGATGAGATTTTTTTGTCATCAACCCTACCTACACAATGCACAAGAAAAATTAGCAACATGATAAGAAATAACCCCTATGTCTACAGCTGCTGCCAAAATGAACACAAATCCATAGTTCCTCAAAGGAGCTTTAATAATACCAGTAAATGCTCATAAAGCATAGCTCAGAGTTCATTTGCCCTCATGATGATATTATTACTTTAAGATAGCAGATAAATCTGAAACCCATGTAGACACAGTTTAACTGAATATTCCTTTTTTTTTTTTTATTCTTTTTTTTTTTTACAAAATATAGTTTTCCTCATAAAGATCATTCCTTAATAACAATGTAAACCTTTATAAGTTGTTGTTTTTTCACCAAAAATCAGTCCAAGAACATTGCTACCCTGGCCACATGGCTCAAATAGGCCTCTGGTACACTGTATTGCAATTTGACAGATTTTGCTTTTTTACCACAAATATACAAAATAATTGTTGTCAGGAAAGTGTTAAAACATGCATATTGAAGACTTTCTCCCACTCAATACACTAAAGTATTTTCTGAAACCTTTGAGATGAACCAAAGAAAGATTTACGGGGGAAAATTGTTAGAACAAATTGCTATCATTTTAAAGTGACTTCAAAATTTTAAAAAAACTCACAAGAAGTTCATATCCAGAGTTGTTTTTTGGGGTTCATGATAAACAATCTGACTCCTTTGGTGTCATGACCCCCCCCCCCCCTTTGAACATAAAACAAACAGTGGAACAGCATTTTGTAAACATTCACTGGAGCAGCTTGAAAATTCATTCCACACAGTGTCATCCACTCACATATGTTGCCAGGTTTTATCCATGGACTGAATGTGCTCTTTGGCTTTCATCCTTAGTGCTGCGATGCTAGAACTCCTGTCGTCCTCCATAGGGTATTTATCGTTGAAGCTCGGTGGGCACTGGTAGGGAGGAGGGCCGATTGGCTGCATACCTTGAACCATTCCAGGTGGAGTGTTTAGGAAGCTGTGGCTTGAATAGGCGGGCTGCAGGCCCTGTGGTGAACCCATGAACCCTGGGATAGTATGCATTTGTGTGGCACTGGAGATAGGTGAGGTCAGCCATGGATCAAGTGGCATAGGGTTTGACACTGGCCCCACGTTAGGCGGCATCGGGGGACGATTGAATGATAGCATGGGGGAATCATGTAGCTTCATGGTACTGGTGTCCATTTTTTCTTGACGTCTCCACTTGGCCCTTCGGTTTTGGAACCACACCTGGACAAAATATATTGTGATAGGATTAGATGGTGCAGTGAGGCATTGAGGTTATATCAGTCTGACTCAGTTTGAATGCAAAGAAGATTTAGAGGTTGGAACACTTGATACATAGGGGTGCTCTTAGTCAAATTTTGATTGTCCTAAAAAGAACAGGAAAAATAGATGATGACCTCATTAGCCA